CACACCCTCTTAGGTTCCTTGTTCACATGAAAATGTTTTGTTGCTGGAGAGTATACGCCTGCGTTTCACAATCTCAGTTCATCAGTCATGGCCAGATGTCTGCAGATGTTGCTGCTCATCGTGGCCTTCTCTCAGCTCAACAGCTCAACAGCATCCTCGAGTAACAAGGTGAACCACGGTGCTTTTGTTCGGTTCTGACTTGCATTATTTATCACAAGTAAAATTGAAAACTCAAGTAGAACAACAGGATGGCTTCTTCAAATATTTCATCTTCATTTTCTCCAAGGCAGAGGAAGGAGCTGAGCACCACAAGAAAATGAAAAGCCAGAGGAACTAACACAGATCCAACTATATTATTAGACCTGGATGATGTGGAAGCATTCACTCGATAAGCAGAATTTTTTTTTTTTACAAAAAACGAACATAAAAAGTTGCTGTTTTCATTTAAACGTTTCATGTTTTTGCTGTCAGACAACAGAATGAGGATGAAATAGTAACTGTAGCGCAGCCCATTAAGACTACATGTTAACCAGCAGTTTCTCCTCATTGTCAATTGAAGGCATAAAGACAGTTTTCTTCCTGAATTAGGCAGGAACAGCAGCAGCTCATTGGTTTTCAGAGCAAAACAGCCTGTTTAAAACAGGCCTAAGACCAGGAGTTATACAGTCACAGTGAAATCAACTATCTTTGTAGCATTTTGAGCTGAAAAACAGATTTCAAACAAGTAGAACAATAGTCCAATATTTTATAATTAAGGCTAATTAAAACACTGACCGTGAAAATAGAATGTAACACTTTCTATAGCCGGGGAGTCTGAGGGAGCATGTTGCCTGTCTTGTTGTTGTATATACACACACCTACACCCAAACATTATTTCAGACAGCAGGAATGAGTATGATGTCATCCCTTAAGCGTTATCATCTTGGATCCACGTGAAAACACTGATGAATTGAATTGCACTCAATTACACCAGTAAACGCCAGATTAATGCCGAGTTTGTCCATCTGATGGGAGCATCTGCTCCTTCTGCTCCAGGTAGACCAGCTTGTTTTAACCCAGGGTCTCGAACTCCGGTCCTCGAGGGCAAGTTTTAGATGTTTCCTTCTTCCAACACACCTGATTCAAATGATCAGCTCATCATCAAGCTCTGCAGAAGCCTAATAACGATCCTGATCATCTAAAAACATCTAAAACTTGCAGGATTGCAGCCCTCGAGGACCGGAGTTCGAGACCCCTGTTTTAACCCATTTGCAGATAAAAGTCCATCCATCCATTATCTATACACCGCTTAATCCTCATTAGGGTCGCGGGGGGCTGGAGCCTATCCCAGCTGACTTAGGGTGAAGGCAGGGGACACCCTGGACAGGTCACCAGTCTATCACAGGGCCACACTTCGAGACAGACAACCAAGCTCACATCTATGGACAATTTAGAATCACCCATTAACTTCAACATGTTTTTGGACCTTGTGGGAGGAAGCCGGAGAACCCGGAGAGAACCCACGCTGCACGGGAAGAACATGCAAACTCCACACAGAAAGATTCCGGTGCTGGCAACCTTCTTGCTGTGAGGCAACAGTGCTACCAACTGCGCCACCTTGCAGCCTGCAGATAAAAGTGGCCACCTTAAATGAAAAGTGTCGGGGATATAGGTGTAAGAAGGAAGAACAGAGATAAGACAAAGATCAGAAAACAACTCACCACCCACTGGTTTCTCTCCACACATTTATGTGATTTTCCAAATACAAATGTTTCTGCTGCAAACAGGAATGGAAACAGTTTCTTTTAGAAAACAACAGAGAAGTGAATGTTTCTGTTTCCTCTGTTGATCATTGCACTGGCCTAAGAGAGAACACAGAACAGAAGAAAGTCCTCTGCCAAAGCTGGACAGACAGTTTTCCACATTCCTCATTGTTTTAGCTGGGGGGTTCGTCTCTCTGTGCTTGTGGATGTGACACTGAACACTGTAAAGATGCCTGATTTACATGCACATTAGTGGCAGCTTTGTGCTTTAATAGCGACATATTGTAATTATTCCGTGACATTATCTTTATTGATTTTAACCCATTGATGTCCTTCCTGTGTGTAGTGAAGCCTTGTCGCTTGTGCTGTTCCTCTGCTGTCGAAACGCTCTCAACATTTTTGTCTCAGTTTAAACATGTTCATTCAAACTCTAAACAAAAATGCTTTCCTCAGTACGCTTCCAAACAAATCGCTCTGTGTCATTGTATGTCTCTGTCTGTCTGACTCATCCTTGTGTTTATTTTGTGCAGCGTGACAAGATTCAGCTGGATTTCCTGCTGTGACTAACACGAAGACCGGTTTCCGACTCCAGAGGCCGCTCAGCTTGTAAGGTCATGAAATTTACAGGGTGAACTTTTGTAAACTGTGCTTTTATATGGGACTGCCTAATTTCTCAAGGGGTGGGACATTTGTCAGAAGATTACAAATTTAACAAATGACAGGAAAATACCACTTTACCCACATCTAGTAATTATTTCTCCATATTTTTTTTTTGATGAAATGTGTTTTATCGTGTGGGTTGAAACAAATCAAGAGCAGATTTGCAGTGCAGTAACATAAAACTTAGACTATGCCTGCAATGTGTTTCAGATTCTTGTTCTTTTTTTGTTGCCACATTTGTGTATGTGGAAACAGCAGGGGACGCAAACAGTCAGAGGGAAGTTTCTTGTAAATATGTGTTGCCAGTTGAAATGAGAGCTGCAGCAGATTATACTAAATGCAAGCTAACTTTAAATTAAACCCAGCAGTGGAAGGTGATGTAAAGGTTCATCATGAGCAAATCATACTTAAGTAAAAGCAAACAAGTATTAGCAGTAAAATACCATGAAAGTATTAACGTCCTTGTTTGGTCCCTCTGACTGATATATCATTAGATCATTATTAGTGAAAGTGTGTCAGCAGCATGGTGCTGGTGTAGCCGCTGCAGGTTTGAACTACTTCATCCAGTTTATACACAGCAGGGACACAAAATAAATCAAAGTTCTGAGGCGCTTGTTTTCAGTTTTTGTACGTTTCGTGCTGAGATTTGAACTGCTGGATCATTTAAACATTCATTGAAATAAAACCATGTGAGGGAAGTTTAGAGGAAAAAAAATCACCATCAGACATCTGAACTGTGAGATCAACTACACAGGGCTGCTTTTAAAAATGGCAGAAGCTAAAAAAGGCCTCCCCCAAAAAACAACTACCACTGGTTTAAACTTCAACAATGTGTTGCATTTAAAATGTTGTCCATTGTGTAAAATCTTTATCTTAAAAGTTACTAAAGCTGTCAGATACACTGAGTGGAGTAGACAGTAGAAATACTCCACTGACCTGTGGGGGAGTGGAAGTAACATAACATGGAAACAGTCATGTTAAGTACCTCAAAGTTGCAATTAGATACCGTACTTTAATAAATGTAATTAGTTACTTTCCATCCCTGACCAACTGTTTCTAAAGGAAAGTAGAACCTTTCAAAGCAGCACGACAGTCGTCTGCTGTCTCGATGAGGACGTTTCTTCTGTCTAAAACAGTTTGGTTTCAGTTCCAGAGGACTGTGGAGGGTTCAGACCAGGTCAGGGGTGGACTGGCCATCTGGCATTCTGGACACTGTCTCACTGGACCAGCGTCTAGTGGGGACTGGTCAAAGTTGTTTTTTAAAAAAATCTTTCCCCTACATAATTGGCCGGTGAGTTATGTGACCTGTTGTCCAGTCGTGTGGCTGACTGGCCATTCGGCACAGCCCATCGATACATGTCATTGGTTAACTGTCAGTCAGGGCCTGTCAATCACCCAGTTGCTGGATGGACGGGGCTAACAGAGTTTTGGCAAGTGAGCTGAGGTTAGGTGAGGAGTCTGATACGGAAAAACAATCACCGAAAAAACACCCTGGTGACGCTGAAAAGCAACGAATGAAAAAAATGAAAGCAGTGGAAGCAGAGGCCTCCAAATGCACCAAAATAACTCAGTTATTTGGTCCAGCAGCAGCAGCAGTAGCATCCAATCGCGGAGGGGGAGACCATGCCTGGTCCTGGCGTTACCCTCCCAGCTTCAGGCATCTCCATTGGCAGAGTACAAGTCGAGAACAGAGGAGGATGGATGAGGTGGAGGGGGGGACAACAACAACACAGAGGCAGTGAAATAAGTCCCATAAGCTGTGTCCTCTATGCTGCTACCAGATACTAAGACACTTCAACATGCGAACAAATGCATACCATACCAGTTCCTCCTGACACTATTACTTACTTGCTGAGAAGAGTGAACTACAGAAAAGGCTGCTCTACTGATAAAGTGAGACACATTATCATAACAGACTTAGGTATTTGGCAACTTTATGATTTTTCCACATTTTACATTGCGTGCTTATGTGGTGGTCCATGACAGTGTGATCATGTCCAATCATTGATCAATGTCCCTGCCTCTTTCTATTCCATCCTCTCTTCTGTCTCATCAGGTTGTCTTGAGCTGTTAGCTTCATTTGTCAGCTTCCCTTTTGGGCAAAAGAGCCTTTTTAATTTGGTGAGCACACAACCTGTTGTCCAATAGGTGTCACTACAGCAACAAAAGCAGAGCATATGCAGATAGTGTGTCTGCTCAACTGGATTGCAATTTTTTTTCCAACTTGTCAACAAGTTTGTACAGGTCTCAGAAGATGTCTTTGAATGTTTTGTTCTGAAAATTCAATCTTTCTGTCAGTTTTTTGTCCTTGCATTCATAAAAACAGTGATGATGCCCATAATGTTGTGTCTGGGCCAAAAATGCCAGGGCTGATTTTTTTTGCCCCAGTCCCCCAAGGATCAGGTTTAGGTGGACCTCTAGTTGAGGTCAGGTTGATGTTAGATTTAGTGACAGTGACAGTGCGTTTGTGTGTGACAGAGACATAGTGGGCGTTTCATCTCCAAGTAAAACATTTTAAAAGAATCAAATGTCGCTTTTTTTCTTAGGATGTGTTAACTGTAGTAGTTTCAGTGCGGTTCTTCCTGTCCTTTGCCACGACACGGAGCTGTTACCGCTGCTCTCCGCCCACTCGCGCTGCGCTGCTGCGAAATCAAAGCAGCCTCCTGCGCAGACGGCAGCGCTCTGAGACGGACAGACTGACAGACTGACAGACAGCAGGAGACAGCACCGTGAGTAGTGTTAATCATAGCTTTGTAAATTAATAAACAGCTCAGTACTACACACTGTCAGCTGTTTAGTTCACTGAGAACTGCAGGAGAAACCTTTGTGCTGATTCGCTGTTGCAACAAAACAATCAGACGAAGTGTCGTGTCGAATGATTTGTAGTGAATTTATTTCGATTTATTTATTTTTAAAAAATTTTAAATGCAAATTGGAGTCGTGTCATATCACCTCAAAACAATGCTGGATGAAGTGTTAAGATCTTTCCTAGAGTAGTGTAAAAGTACTCCATTACAAGTCAAAGCCTGTCTGATTAAATGAATATACAAGATGTGTCTTTCCACTGTCTCTTACTATCAGTGCTGTTGCAATGTCTGACGCGCATGCCCGGCTTGTCTCACTTTAAAACGATGTCCAGATATTTCCAGTTGTTTAAATAAGCAAGGTATGACAATTAGGTAGACTACTAATACATACTGCTCCCATTTGCAGTCATCTCATCCGCGCCAAAAAAACAATCATGCACACCTGTCCTCTCTGACCTGGCAGTAAAATGCTCCTCCACCGGAAGCTGCCAGTGCCACCAGCAGTACAAACATGCAACAAGAAATAAATGAATAAACAAACACATGAATAAATGGCTGTTATACAAGACAAAGGCAGAGAAGCTCCTGATCAGTTCAGCTCCTCTCTGGGTTAATGCTGATCTCACTCATATTTAATTACACTGTAATTATTCTACTGATGTACAGAAATGAAAAGGAAGGACTTTTAATTGACACAATGTGTTCTCATAAGAATATGCTTAAACTTAATAACACAGTCCTGCTAATGTTACTTCTCTAATACATTATGTACACTATCACCTAATGCAGTAACATAGTAACTATTATAAGAACATAATAATAACTACTAAGCAGTGGAATAATGTGTTATCTGTCTTAGAGGCTAACTAACTAGCCTTAGGTTAAACTTACACCATTAGCTAGCTGTAGTGCTACCTAACTAACTAACAGGCTAACCATCGCTGGAGATGTTTTATGACAGGAATTTAAATATCAATAATAATAATTTTGTGGTAAAGTGAACACTTCTGTCATAAAGGCATCAGTTCTCAAGTGAATGGCAATAATCATTTTTTGTCCCTGTGCATAAAAGTTTGAAAATAAATGTAATCTTATACATAAATCATAGGTTAAGGTGAGATGACCCCGTTGGAGGCTTCTTTCTACTAAATGTAAAATTAGGCCAACTTAATCCAGGGGCATCATGTATCATCAGTGCGTGCGCACAGATGTGTGCGTAGAGCGTGCGTACGAACAAGTATGGCATTTATCAACTTGTACTTATACTTAGGAATGTGCGTAAATATACGCACAACTCTGACCATGTGTACACACATAATCTAGTGGTAGAATAGAGAAACTACAAATAGAAAGCATTCAGGTTTTTTGACCACCGGCACATTCCAGCGTGAAGTTGGAGACATATGCGGCATTTCCAGCCACCACTGAGCAGGATCAAGCCGGCAGTGTTAGATGCCATAACTCCCCTGGGCCCAGCCTACATCCAGTTCCCTTACAGCCATCACCAACAAGCCCAAATCAAACGGAACTTAACGCCATCGCTGGATTCCCAAACATAAGTGGAGCCATAGACTGCACCCACATCACAATCAAAGCAGCATCACTAATGAATTTAATTTTGTAAATAGACAAGGGTTGCAATGAACGTACAAATAATTTGCACATTTGTTGCTATCCAACGTTGTTGCCCGGTGGCTTGGAGGACCGCACGACTCATTTATTGAACAGAACAGTTCTGTGGGTACGTCTCCAAGCAGGAGCTGTTAAAGAGGGCTGGCCTATTGGTGAGTGTTAGAAAGTGTGGAAATGTTTTAGCTGGACTTAGTATGGTTAATAAAACATCTATAGTGATGAGGGTTATCCACTGGGTGAACGTTCGGTATTAATTCATCCTCCTCCAGTTGCAGTCATTTCTCTTTTAAGGGCTGTGATGCATTTTTTGGCACTGAGCTTAACGTCAGACTACTTTTCAAAAATTTTGCCACTGCAGTGGTTATCTTGTCCCATGTGGTATTTTTTCTTTCGCTGCTTATCCCAACATTTCACACACCAAACAATATTTTCTGGCTAGCATCAACCTCGCTGACAAGTACCTTGATCTCAGTTTCAGAAAAGTTCCTCTGTTTCGCCCGTTTTGCCACGATGATGACGACAGGTGAGGAAAAAAATCAATAAAGAGGCATGTTGTTGCTTCCTAGCTCCCACAAGGTCCAAAAACATGTTGAGGTTAATTGGTGATTCTAAATCGTCTGTAGGTGTGAATGTGAGTGTGCTTGGTTGTTTGTTAGACTGGTGACCTGTCCAGGGTGTCCCCTGCCTTCGCCCTAAGTCAGCTGGGATAGACTCCAGCTCCCCTGTGACCCTAGTGAGGATTAAGCAGTGTATAGATAGTGGATGGATGATGTACGTACGACCCCGGTACGCACGTTTGTTAAATACAGATTTTTTTGTACTTACACACACTCAAAATTTCATGCGTACAGGTTCGCACTGACAACTTCTTTTACACACTGACAAATCTCACTTCGGACACACAGATTGAGATAGACAGACGACTCTCCATTCGCGTTGACAAATCACTCCCTATGCCCTACATAGTGCACTATGTAGAGGGTTCGCCATTTTGTAGGGGTGTCCGAATGTTAAGTTACAAATGTTACACCCTATATAGTGCACTCAAAATATCCCACAATGCACCATGAACAGTAGTGTACAGCCGATGGTCACTAGCCGAGCAATATGGACCATCATGCATTGCGCGAAAGGAAATGGAAACTAGACGAATAAGAGCATGAAAAATTCCCGTTTGTTTTGTAAAATTTTATTTTACCCGGACAGTGAACGTCGTTAAAATTGTGGCGCTCGGTTGTGATTTGGACATACTACACAACTTTATTTAAATTGCTTTAAGTTACTGGATCCTGAAGAAACGCTCTCTCATCTGGTATGTACAGCAAAATGACAATAAACGTGATTTAATTTGATTTCTTAGCTACGCAATGAACTGTGAATTTGATGTGTTTGTACTACGCTGTTGCAGCACAAATCGTGGCTAGAGAGCGACGTAATTAATAGCTCAAGTAGTGTCCGAAATGTTACTTTGCCGAGGTGCTCCCTACTTGGTGCACTATGCAGTGAGCAGGGAGTAGGGAGTGAGTGGATGATTTCGAACACAGCCATAGTTTTGCTACAATAATGCCCTCATAGATGTGGACATTATTAACAGTTGTTTTTATACAGTCAGCATGTAAATTTAAACTTTTTTTCCTTTCACTTCACTAGATATCATCTGTAATTTATCAAAACAGGCAAAATCTGTAAAAAAAAAAAAAAAAACCATTAATAACAACAAAACAGTTAGAATAACTATCTACCATTTTCCAGTCCTTAAAACACATCATTTATCTTTCAAATAACAGCCACAGTCAGTAAATTAATTGTAGTTTTTGCTGATTTAAATGCAGTAGTACATTTTTATTACCTTACAGTCACGCATAGTAAACAAACAAATTACAATAAAAGCAGGTTTTTGCTGTGGACATTATTTGTGGGTTTGTTTGTTTTTAACAGTTAACATATCAATAATATTTTTCTGTTTTTTTCTCCTTATTATAATATTATAATCTAATTATAGTTTTCATAATACCATTATCTATACACAGCTTAATCCTCACTGCAGAGTGAGTTTGCTGAATGGGGCTCAATGCAGATTTTTTTTAAAGAAATGTTATCTCAGAAGGTATTTGATAAAGCAAGCTCAAATTTTATAAATATACATATTATATCCATCCATTATCTATACACCGCTTCATCCTGACTAGGGTCGCGGGGGGCTGGAGTCTATCCCAGCTGACTGAGGGTGAAGGCAGGGGACACCCTGGACAGGTCACCAGTCTATCACAGGGCTACACTTAGAGAAACATTTCGAATCACCAATTAACCTCAACATGTTTTTGGGCTGTGTGGGAGGAGGAGAACCCGGAGAGAACCCATTTTCTATTTTGATCATGTCTCATGTGGTAACGAACATCATGTTATATGTAAATTGCTGTTGGCAATAATTGATAAAAAGGTGAAGCACTGTCATTAAAATGTCTCACAATCATCCAGTCACAGTACATGATACAGTGAGTGACATCCTGCAGATGTCCTTGAACCGTAGGTGTGAATGTGAGTGTGCTTGGTTGTCTGTCTCAAATATCAAATATCATTACATTTAAACACATTCCACCTACAGATTAACACATTGGTAAGGTCTCCAAAACACATTGTTGAGCAGCTGATCATCATTTTTTCTCGTTTGGATTATTGCAACTCACTGTTCACCTGCCTGAGCGATTACAGTTGTCTCAAAAGTCAACAGCGAGATTACTCATAAGTACTCATTACTCCAGACCTGGCTAGATTACACTGGCTCCTCATTTGATACAGAATTCTGTTTAAGCTTGTGCAGATTACTTTAAAGTCTCTACAGGGTCTGGCTCCACTATACATGTCTGTAGTTTTACCACCTTATTCTGCACCTGGACCCCTCAGATCTGAGAATCATAAAGCTTTAAAGGTTCCACAGTCCAGACTTAAAACTAAATGGAAACCATGCTTTTTGCTTTTACTGTTTCAGCTGTGGAACAAGCTCGTCCTTACTGTCAGAACAGACAGATCATAGAGACACCCAACTGTTCCCCCCACAGATAAACCACAGACAGAACCAGACTCTGGGTCAGTGGCTTTGCAGCAGTTTTCCCATTAAGGCCTGATTCCTCTCAGCAGTTGAGGGGTTCAGTACCAAAGTGGGCCAAACCACAAAAAATCAAAAGTTGGGTTTCATGTTTTTTTCACAAGTGCTTATGGTGTACTCGTTTGTGGCAAAGTGGTCCAACCAGCAGCCCACTAACAATGTCACAATGGGACTTTAAAGTTTGGCCCATAATGGTTTTGGCATAAAAATTAAGTGGCAAACTGGGCCAAGCCACAGGAATTGCTGACCATTATATCGCTGGTGCAGGTTGTTGCAATGTTTGCAAGATAGTGTGACCTCAAGCCCTGTGAAAACTCAACTCGTAGGTACAGTAAGGTACAATTAAAAACTTAATTAACCACCACCAAGCATCTATTTCTACCCCATGGTACTCAAAAGTATCTCTAATTCCTCATGATGTAAACTCTTCATGCTGTTTGGCAAGACAAACCTGGAATCAGTTTTTTTTCTCAAAAAGTAGAAAACGTGGTATGGCCCGCTTTGGCACTCAGCAAAAGGAAAGGCAAGATTAAAACTTAAATAAGTCATCACAAAGGACCTACTTCTATCTCTTGACAGCGCTGAAACATCTTTGGATGTGTACAATGACTCCTCCAACAACCAGGATTTTTTTTTTTTAGCAACACAAAATTCTGACCTCATTTTTCTCTAAAACTAGTAAATGTGGTTCGGCCCACTTTGGCACCAACCCCTCAATTAATGTTGAGCTGGATCTGCTGCTTGAACTCTGGGAAGCACTGATGTGGACTCTAATCTAAGAGTTCAGTATTGATTTCTGAGGCTGCTAAGTTACAAAATGACTCAAACTTATTTATCAGTTCGTTGCCGATTCATTTAGTTGTTGACAACTAATTGATTTCGAGCTGTAGTCTGCAGCAGAGGGGACTCGTGGTCTCCTTTTTTGTGGTCATACATATCAATTTACCTGGAGTGTCTGTAAATCACACAGATTATTTTTTGCTTACAGAGGTATGCATAAACTCATCAACCAGTATCAGCATACGTGTGCTATAAAGTTGAGCTACAAAGTTGCAAAGCAGAACTTAGAACCCTTAAGATTTATTAATTTGTCCTGGTATTGCATTTGAAGACTTGAAGAAACCTTTAGAATTCTTGAAATTTTCTGATCTGACTGACTTCATGTCTTAAAGTAATGACCAACTGTTTGTCATTCGTCAGCTGAGCAGAGAGTAACTGAACAGGGTCTTTTGCTGTGTACCAACACAACCACTGCACAACACAAGTGAAGGTCTTCTGACAAGACACAGCTGTTACCTGGAAACCGTCCCAGGTGACGACCTCATGAAGCTGGTTCTGATACTGCCAGTAATGTGAGAAGTTGTTGTTAAAGTAAACAGTGACTACTTTAAGGAATGTGAAATATGAAACACATTTTATCTGTATTTGTTTAAAACTTTTTTCTTCATACTACATATTTTTATGTTTATATTTCTGTGATTGGGGCGTCTTCTATTAAATAGTGCTATGTAATTATATAATACGTCCTGAGAGACCAACACATTCTCCAATACTGCGTTTTAGCCACTGATCGTACAAGTGGAACCACGTGTTCCCTGCACGGAGGTGTTAAAAACACAAAAGCAGCCGAGTAGAAATGTAATGCACTGTGCAGAGGAGAAATCTCAGCAGGGGGATCTCCAGAGAAATTTGATTGTTTATGCAATCTACACTTGTGGAAATTATTCCTCTGCACTTTGCACTTACCCTGCTGAGAGAGGCAGAATGAAGTCACCATGATCTCAGAGAAGATGCAACAGGGAGGAAAGGTTCAGGCCAGGACACGATGTCCACATATTGACACTGATTGTATCACAAAACAGTAATTGGCCCACAGTTGCACAACTTTTTTGCAGTATTTCTTCTTTACATGCTTCTTTCCAAACCAGATGAATTTTGTGTCCATGTTTCCTACTGTGTGGCCAATTCTGCAAACAGTTCAGCTGTGTTGCATTCAGAACATTAAATCCAGACATTAGGTTTGTAGTTGCTTGTGGCTTCAGTGGAGTCCTGGCATCAAATTATCATTTACTTTTGCCAATTTCTTTGTCAATCTGCACTGATTTAAGATATCCCCTGTGCAAAGTTACTTTCAATTGTGTGCACGTTGTTGCCTGAGCATAAAGTTTAGAGGCACAGTGACATGACAAATACAGTGTGCATTGGTTCATTGCTCATTTCTATCTTGTTGCCTGTTATTTTTGAGAATTTTACAACAAAATTCCTTTTAGAATCCCTCAAAAGATGTTTCAGATAACTGGTCTTGATTAGATTGTCAGTGGTCCAGGTCACAGTAATCCTAAGTGCTTTAGTAGAAGGAAACTGGACCAGTTTTTGGTTCTTGAAGGTGTTTTACTTTATAATCAAGAGGTTTAGGATTAACCAGACAAAAACCAGTTCACCCTTGGGATAAGATACCCGAACTTAAGGTAAGCAGTGTTGTATAAGGAGTTCAGTGCAGTGAGGAGTTCACAGACGTCTATACAGGTTAAACAGTCACTCCATGAGCACATGGCACAACCTGGAGTGCATCTAAAAGATAAGGGACACTTACTTTAGAACAGCTATGTACTCCTTTTAGACAGAGAAACATTGTTTGAGAGGAGTAAAGGAAGCCCTCTATGGTCAACTGGAACAGCCACAGGAGGGGGGTCTACTGCACCACTGATCAGTTACTTATAACTTATAATATCGTGAGTCGTATGTTTCCCAGATCGTTAACAAGCCTTGACAATATGTTATTCGGGGTGTTAAATACCTCCAACTCCCCACTTCCAGCTGAGGAAGCCTCTTAGATGAAGGGTGAAACATTTCAAGAACCAAAGAGTCCAGAGTTTCCACTGAAGCAATCTCTCATTCAGCAGTTTCTCTTCAACTCTCTATCTAAAAATCAATGTGACATTTACACAGCTAATAACTGAAAATGAAACCTTTCAAAGTCCTTTTTTTTTTTTTGTAGCAGTGCATTGAGTCTTTGGCTTCTTGTGTTTAGGCAAGTTGTTAGACTTCAGCTGAGAAAATGCCTTTAAAGGAAGGCTTTGGTCACTTCTGGATACAGCTGAAACTCTGGTGTACCTGCATACCTCCATGCTTACTCTGCTTTTTCCATTCACAAAGTAATTGCTGTTTTTCTCATGTAATCTCTGAGGTGTTATAGTGGATGTAGGTTTATCTAAGAAGAATGTCAAGGACTAGATTGATAATCTCGTAGCGAAATCCTTCATACGTATGACACGTCACATTTTAATCCAACGTGTTTCCTTACAGCTGTATCAGGATGGATGTCTCGGAGGAGGACGACTACTACTACCACGGAAACGTCAGCTTTAACTTCAGCTACGATGACTATCCAGCCCTGTGCGAGAAGGGCGACATCCGGTCCTTCGCAGCCCTCTTCCTGCCCATCATGTACACTGTGTGCCTGGTGGTGGGGCTGGTCGGCAACGCCCTAGTCGTGGCCGTATACGCCTACTATAAACGCCTGAAGACCATGACGGACGCCTTCCTGAGCCACCTGGCCGTGGCCGACCTGCTCCTGCTCTTCACGCTGCCTTTCTGGGCTGCTGATGCTGCAAGGGGCTGGGAGCTGGGGGAGGTCGTGTGTAAGATCGTGTCGGCCTGCTACACGGTGAATTTCACCTGCTGCATGCTGCTGCTGGCCTGCATCAGCTTGGATCGCTACTTAGCGTTAGCCAGAGCGCAAGTTAAAGGTCAGGGAGGGCGGCTGCAGAGGGTGTTCTCCAGGAAACACTGCTGGAAGGTGTGTTTGGCTGTGTGGGCGACAGCTTTTCTCCTCGGTCTTCCTGATTTAACGCTGTCAGAAGTGAGGTGGGCGTCTAACAGGAACATCTGCGTGGCCATCTATCCCCCCTCTATGGGTCGAGGCGGTAAAGCTGCTCTGGAGGTGGCCGAGGTGTTGCTGGGATTCCTGCTTCCTCTTGTGGTCATGGTGATCTGTTACGGCAGCGTGGGCCGAACGCTAAGCGGCCTCCCCATAAGGAGCCGAGGCAAGAAGTGGAAAGCTCTGCGTGTTCTTCTAATAGTCGTAGGGGTGTTTGTGGTCACTCAGCTGCCGTATAACGTGCTGAAGGTGTACCGTGCGATGGATTCAGTCTACACTTTAGTGACTCACTGCGGGACAAGTAAAGTGCTGGATCAGGCTGCTCAGGTGACAGAGAGCCTGGCCCTCACTCACTGCTGCCTCAACCCCATCATCTACGCATTTGTAGGGTCTTCGTTCAGGCAGCACATGATGAAAGTGGCCAAGAAGTTTGGAGAGAACAGAAGGAAGAGGAGCAGAAGAAGGGAAACTCCTGCAGAAGTGTTCAGGATGGAGATGTCATGTAACTCCCACAGTGCATCCCAAGCGACAAACACATTCTCAATCTGAGTTGTGATTAATACACCACAGCAAAAGACGCCTGAGGTTCTTCTTTGGTGTAGTGCTGTTGAGGAAAAGAGCAGCAGTAGCATGTTTGAAAGTCATTAAGTTGTTTAAAAAATTCCACTGGTTTTAACACTCAGTTCCCTCCACATCAAAAACATGAGGTTACGCTCAACAAGTCTTTTTCTATTGAAGCTGACTTTCACAGAAAATAGTCTTGTTTGCTTTCAAACAACAAAGCATTTCACATTTCTGTCTATTGTGAGTCATAAATGGAAAAAAAAGGGTTTATGTTCTAATCATGAAAGAGCACAATGTCCATATTTTACAATAACCATGACAATAAGCACTGTAAATAGAAACTTTAGGAATATTTTAAGATTCTGTTTGTGATTTTTATGATTTATAAACCATAATCAGCAAAAAAAAACTGTAACAATCTAAAATATATATTCAGTTTTGACTTTCTTAAATGACTGATGGAAAATGACTTTCTTCAGCATGTTCTAATTTTTTGAGATGCATGAGTATGTTGGCATCTGACCCAAAAGTCTGCTAATTGCTCCGCCCACGCTGTACAAAGTACAAATGACATTCATTCTTTAACTTCTTACATAGAAGGAAAAACAAGATCTGCTTTTAAAACTATGTAACAGCTGGAACTCTTCTCTGTTGAAAAACAACTCTGTAACTGCAAGTTGTTAAAAGGATGCTTGTTTTAATTATAATCAGCCTGATGTGTAGATTCTTTAAACCAGATACTCATGCCTGCACCTGTGAATCAGTGAGGGAACATACTGATCCTTTGATATTGTTCCAGTTGAACTTTGTGCTCTCTGATCTTGCGTTTTCTTTCTCAGTTCAAGATGACTGACTTTCTGAAAATTAAAAGATAACAGATCACAAATAATCCACACCAAAGCATTTACCTCCGGTGGGATTTAGCTCCATTTGATGTAGAAAAAGCATTTGGAGTTTCCACGAATTCCTCAGACCATCTGAAACGCATACTTTGTGGACACGTACGCCTGAGTTTTTCCTCACAACAGACTGAAACTTCCAGTAATTTTTATTTTTATGAGGTGATGATGAAAAGTTGATAATCAGACTTTTTCACTACAAATGTGTTTTTTTAGCACTGATTTAAGATGACAACATTTAGTACCAGCGTGTAGCTGCACAGAGGAGCGATGGACGTTTTCTAATCTTTAGTGTTGTTCTGCAGTATTAGCTTCATCTACTGTGACAGACGTAAACACAGCACTGCTGAATTGTCTGATGCAACTAGTTACTTCTTTCTTTTCAACCTGTATCATATGGTTTGTCATATCACTGATCTCTCTTATAAAATGTATTAAAGCTGGTGTTCACACTTTTTCATTTATCACCCAAGGATTCTTTTACATTTTTTTTGTTTTTCCTCCCTTATCCCAGCTGGTACACAGATCAACTGATGATTTGTGCAGCAGGTCATTCTCTGGCACGTGTGCTCTCATATGGAAACCATCTGACTGAGGTTTACCGTCTGTTAACGGAGGAAAACACTTTACTCAGCCAAAAAAGAAAAGGTCTGAATCCAGGGTTTAGCGGTCAGGTAATGTGTGGTAAACACTACCTTCTGTAAAGTTCAAGACAACCTTAAAATGTCACCCTGGAAGATTAGTACATACTGGAGGGATTTGGGATCGTATTCCTTCCCTACATTTGCAAATTGAACCATGCTCACTATCTGCCAGGATTAAATCAATTTATTGAAATAAACTTTCGAAAATGTGCAACAAAAACATTACTTCTTGTAATAAACAACAAAGGAGATATAAATATGCAAAAATGCCACTCAGTGCTCGTAATATTTAACAATTCAGATCAGAAATATGGCAAATTTAATTATTTAAATTATGCTTAAGGCAGTTAACTAGCTTCAACCCGAACCAATAATTCTTTTTCTCTTAAATTAAGTAAAAAATATTAGTTATTCAAATATAACTGCAATGACATGAAAAAAAAAATCCATGAAAACAAAAAACGGCCTAAAATGGCAGTGTCACAATAATTTAGAAAAGAAAACTTTCTTGCATTTTCACAAGAACAAGGTAACAAAATGCAACCACAACATTCACTTCTTCAATACAGAAGGTTTGTTGAAATATGACTATGAAATTCATTTCAGGTGCTTTCCATGCAAAGAAAGTTACTTTCTTACACACCCACAACTAGATTAACTGTTGAAATTTTAAAAAGAAGTCAATACTGAAATTGTTACAAGTTACTGTAGACATCAACTAAAGCGAAACACTGTCACAGTCCCAAAAGTTCATAAACTGCAAAAAGTAAAGCAGTCGCCTTCAAGTCTTAGGTTTCCACTGGATGTGGAAAAATACAAAGATCCGTAGACAGAAAAGTGCAGCAGGAGGCTGAAGGATTTGTCTTGGCTCACTTCTACTGAGGCACCTCATTTGTCTGGAATCTATAAGATATTTACTCATTAAACCTGTAAAGTCTCAGTGGAGACACAATGGCTCATGGCGACGCACAGTAAATACCTTATGGTAAATTCATTCAGGCTCTTTGCTTGAAAGAGGCTAGTGTTGTAAACTGAATGTGTAAGATGTCTAATGGACAGCAGTTAAGATATGTGTGTATATATATTTTCCTTAAGATGACAAAAAGGTGATAAAGTATCGACTGTGCAACCACAGCAGAATGGGGAAAAGAATCTTTGAACCATCTTTAAAGAGAGGCTAAATGTGCCTCTCAAGATTGTACGAGCGTGGCAAAATCAGAGTCAGCCATCAGTAATTGAGGATCTGCATATCAAACAGGTCACACACTCCCTCATTGTCGTCCAGGTTGAAGCTGTAGTCTATACCTGCATGTGGAGAGAGACATCAGAAGAAATACTGGAAAAATCTTAATGTGTCACACACACCTAACATACATTTCCAGCTGTGCTAGCAGCACGGCTCCAGGAAGGGGAATGACGGTCTACTTGTCACTTTGATCTAGACGTAATACAACTGGTAATGGGATTGCCATGGAATTTGGTACAAATCTACATGGAGTCCTAATAATGAATGCTAATTACTCTGTAATAGAATGATTAGGTTCATTTTGTCTATTCTGATTATAGGTATAAGACTGAGGCCAGGCGAGTCACACCTCCAGGAAACCACCAGCTGATAAAGACACATCACCACAGACTGAAGTGAAAGTCGAAATATGTCAAAGGTAAAAACAGCTCCTATCTAAAAAATACTCATTGTCTGATAAAAAAAAAAAAAAAGAAACCTTATAGTTAATTACTCTGTTGATCCCGTGACCTCATTTAGTGCAGTCATCAGGTCAACGTTTTTAAAACGTCAGACGCTTTGGTTTATGACTAACTGTAGATAATTATATTCCCACTTTTCTTAGCTTCCTTTTGCATTACATTCTATTCAACAATGGCTAGCATGCTATCATGACACACTAAGACGGTGAACATGGTGGTGACATCAACACCACCATCTGCTCAACATCAACATGATAGAATGCTGATGTCAGCATCTGGTCTCACAGAACCACTAGCATGGATCTTCCCTTTGGTTGATCATCTGTTTAAAGAGTAATTAAACACCTTCTAAAAATCTCATCTTTGCAGACTTCTGAAGATTTAACTTTTCAGCTTGTGTCAAGTATAATTAAGAACAAATGTAGACACAAAAAGTATGAAGTTAGTTAAGCCATGTTGTGAAGCTTACCATCGGTAGACATCAGTTCATCAATCAGATCAACAGCTCCTACAAGGGAATTAAAAACATATTTCTATTCCAAAGTATAGTTGAACTGTAATGGTCTGTGTTGCATCAAAAGACTACAAAATGTGCATCATAGTCCCACACCAGGCTGGGTACATGCCAGGTAGCCCGCAAAAAACTACACAGAAAAATTACACGTGTATAAATTCAGATACGTCCACAGACAAAAATGAACCTAATACAGGTAAAAACAAAACCTTTTCTTTTTCCAACTGGAGAATCAGAAGTAAAAATGACTGTTTACTGCAGTATTTATCAAAATCAGTTATATTTTCAAGCTAAATCAGCTGCTATTTTTTTGAATTGTTTGCCATTTGTGCATGTTTATATGTTTCCTAACCTGGCAAATATGGAAAACGTGTTCGCCATTCAGGCATCAAGCGCAACAAGTGAAAGACACTTTTTCTTGGTTGGATTTGTGATTTAAGAATGGAGTACCAGCTTAAACCAAGACTGTCAATCATATTCTTTATCTGCACAGAAACCTCAAGGGCAACGAAATGTCAGCATAGTGAGTAGCAACAATGTTGGTGACTGATTCTGCCAAACAGGCTATGGTTAATAACGATGAGTTCGTATCTCCACATGTTCCAAATGCACATGTAAAATGAAGCACTTTACAAACAAAGCAAAGTGAGTGACTGGACAGCCTGTTTGTTAAATCATGTGTCTCATTAACAGGGTGAGGCGGGTCTGGACTGTACTTGGGTCGAATTGCAAGCCAGTTCTGGTACAGAGCTTTATGGGGGTATGCAAAGTCTTGACCCATGCAGGGCTCTGGTCTGGATTTGATTAGGCCATTTACTCTCAGCAGTAAATATCTTTTTAAAAACATAACTCAGAAAAAAGCAAGCTTAGATCTTCAAGCCTAAACAGAACAAGAACTGAAGTAAATGTGAAACAAACATTCAATTGCCTCCAAGCTTCACTGCTGGATGCAATTACAGAACAAACTATTTGGTGTAACTGCATGCACATCTCCATATCTCACCCTCTCCGTCATCTTTCACGTGGTCTCCAGCAGCGCTGAGCGTCAGCAGGCTGCTCACATCCAGCATTGACTGGAACTCTGGGCCTGCCAGGTCCGTCTGCTGACTGTGACACTCTGCAGGGAGAACAAGATGTGAAACAAGAATACTTAGCTGTACAGTACAGGGCATAGTTCTTTGGACAGAGAAACAGAGAAGGGCAGCTGTAGTAACAAAACAAACAAACAAAAAAGGTTACCACTCTCATATTTGTCGAGTAAACAGAAAGTTACAACCAGCAGCTAGTTACATTAGCTTAGCATATGGAGTCAACGAGGTCATTGTTTCTTGCCAAGACATAACTCCCTGTAAATTCATGATTATTTTTACATGTCTAAAAGTGAATTAAAAAAAAAAATCATTCTATCAACATCTCTTCTCTCTTAGAAGTCATCGTGCAAACACCAGAGTTTTGTCATTTTTGTCGATACTGTGTTCAGTAACCGCAAAAATCATTGAAAAAAAAAGAAGTCTTTTGTGTTACAATTTTGGTAATTCCTCATTTTTTTCTTGGAACAAAGGTCTGCGTGGGTTTCACTTTGACTGTGGTATGATCTCTTGTTACCCAATTTCAACACTGACTCACCCTTTTCTGGTAAACCTACATCTGAACCTGGGTGTGGGTATACTCCTACACAGGAATTTTTATTTTAGCAGATTAGTCGGTTCCCATGACATGATGTGGGAACAGACGAACACAGTCTTGGAAAATCAGCTGATGCAGAACATCATGTGTAATATATAGTGTATGGAACATAAAGATAAAGATAAAGATAAACTTTATTCATCCCGAAGGAAATTGTTTTGCCAGAGTACAGTTAAAGCAAGCAAAACAGTTAAAGTAAACAAGTAATTCCAAATAAGAATAAAAATAAAAAGTAAAAAATAAAAGTAAATAAAATAAGAATACAAGTACCAGAGAAGAATAGTGCCTTAATAAAAACAATACAATAAGTACAATAACAATAATAATTATAAAGTGACGAGTTACTATATATTACAAATATATATATTTTCCACAGCGTCCACAGCAGTGTGGCTGTTAAAATTTCTTCATCTATGCAAATCATTATAGCTCTTGTTCTGGATCCGGACAAATTACTATCCACCAATGCCTCCTTGACAGAAAAATGACACCAAACCAATACTGAGGTTACACCATGAGCATCACCTTCTCTGTCTAAACTGTAACAGACAAAAACATGGTGATCTTTGTAATAGCTTTACCCAAGTCTGTCCAAGTATGTATTGCTGTCTTCCCACTACAACTGTTGTGGAAAGTATTATGCACAGAAGTCAGACCTTTTAGAATTGAAGGTCGATAGGGAAAAGGCTTGGGGCTGCAGAGATTTTAATTTTCCCCTTTTTCAATGCAGGATGTTGTGTTTGAATGCATCAGTTTTAGCTTAGTGAATATATACAGAAAGTGTGTTTTCCCAACAGGCTTGTTTTAGTAGTATTTTGTGCCACAAGTCTACACCAACGTATTTTTTTTCCCTGTTGTTATTTACCTAAAACACCCCATGCATCAATTAGTGTCATCATAGACGTCCAACAACATTAATGATCCAACACAAAGCAGAAGTGACACTGACTACAGTGACGACAGTTGAGAGGGACTTTATTCAATGTCTTGACTCCTGTGGGGCCAAACAGAATAAAAACTCACACAGTGTGGGGACTAAAAAAGTGAACTTCAATAGTTTATTAGTCTCTACAAGCTACTAAAACATGAGTCATTTCATTCAAACTGTCCATTCTTATTACTATTCTAAGACATCTTTGGATGTATTTCTTATTGTCTCAGTCATTGGTTTTGGTTCATGTAACTGCACTGTGAACGTTAACTTGCTGAGACAGGTGCTATTTTGACTGACAGACCACTTTTATTTTCACCACATAGTATTATAGATGCAAGCAACAACTTCTTTTAAACTTTTCTGTTCCTGCACAAAGTAAAGTGTCATATGATGCTGCTGAGTCATCTGCCAAATATCAACCAAATCACATGAGCTATTTCATAAAGCCAGTGTTTTCCTGAGTGCGGATTTCATTTTCTTGCTCATGGTGTGTTGCATTACATTGCTTTTTACTGGAAACTGTTCTCTGTTTTGTCACCCTCATAACAGGCAAAATATTTTTCTGTTACTATAGGGCAACAACAACGAGGAAATACTCTGATATTTATAAGGTCTAGGAGTAATTTTTACTCTACAAAAAGGACAACAGAATATGCAGCATGAGTGCAAGGTGCTGATAGTCCAAATTTAGAAACAGTTTCGGTTTGTGACTTCCTCATCATAACTGATGCAGCTGAGCAATCATCTTGCATACCAGAGTTATGTCTTAAATCACCACCTTCTTCACTCATTTTCTACTGCACATCCATACATAATTGACACTCAACATCCATCCATCCATCCATCCATCGTCTATACACTGCTTTATCCTCTGTAGGGTCACCTGGGCCGTGGGCTGAAACCTATCACAGCTGGCTTTGAGCAAAGGCAGGGCACAGACACTCAACACCGAAGAGTAAATTAAGAATTTAGATCCATCTACTGATTTTGAATCATCACTGTCAGCTGATGAGTTGTGCAACAGTCATTTTGCCGTTCAGAAAATGTGGTGTGTTACATCACGGGACTGTTAGCCAAGTCATGCACACTGTTTTATCCATGTGGTGTACAATGGAGTAAATATGTAGTGATTTCAGACATAGCCCTGAGCTAAGGATTTATTGTTTTTGTTTATAAAGGTTCCTAACAAAGTGAAGTGACCTGTATGTATCAACTGTAAGTGTCAGCTTTGATAAGGGCTGGTTGAATTCCCTAAAAGCTCAGTGCTTCCTTATTCATGAATTTTTGCATTTGATACAGCAGTCTGTGCTTTAGAAAAAAAAAAAAAAAGGAAATAATGCTATCTCACAACTTCTTGTGGCAGCAACATTCAACGCAACACACCATCCACGCCAGACCCTCGGCAAAAACATCCACCATCACCTGTTTACATAGCCTAGTTTAGATGCAGGCAGATTCTCTTAACATCATGGTTGTTTTTTCCCATGCCCTTATTAATTCTCCTTCACATTTTGCAGGACCTCATGACTTTTCCATTGAGGTCAAGGAAACAAGGTAATTTTTGGACTATTTTACCACAACCCTATTAGTAGTTAACTGTTGTTTCCTCAACAACTCTAGCAACTCTTGATGTTTTTAAAGGCTCAGCACACACATCCAGGTGTGTAACCTATTGCTCAGGTTGAACTTAAGTGGAACTATGCTGTGAATTAAATACTATTCTCACACCTTAAAAGATACACAGTGGCTTTCTAGATCTCAAACACCACAATGGAGCTATTTTTTAATAAGCCAACTTCTTTGTTGCAAACCCAGGTTATGGTTTCACACTACTGCTCTAATCTACAGCTGGTGTTAATGTGCCAACAAAGACTGCAATACATCAGTAAAGGTGAATATAAGCAATACAAGACCACAAGAACTACTTTTTAAAAACACACATAATTGGAGAAAGGAAACAAAATCCCTGTGTTTGTTAGACTGTATGAATATTACATTTTTCCAGTTGTTGTCATCTAACATATGCGGCAAAACCTTGTCTGTACACTCAGCAACACCACAACCAACCAATTGCAAAATTGGTTGAATCATAGCATTTCTGTATTGGCTATTGATTACACGATATTCTGAAAGGCATGTTTAGAATAATCAATTTACAAGCTCCCAAACCTATGGATGCTTTGTTCATTTAATGGTGTTATGTGTAAAGTTTTTCTGCAAGTTAAAAATCTGTTTCTACTCAAAATTTTACAATCTGGGAGTGGAGCCAAACTTTTGGCTTACAAATTTTGTTTATTGTAGCTTCTTTAAAAGTAAATACAATTGTATGTATAATCCTGAAGCCCATGTCCTTACCTATCTGCACATCAGGAGGGGTAGAAGATGGTGTCAGCAGTTCATGAACTGGCAGCACCACCTGGTGGTCTGAGCACAGAGAGTCCTGGCTGCAGTAGGAGGTGGTGGTGTTGAAAGTGGAGCTTGCAGACACAGAAAGAGGGCACCTCTGCAGGCTGGCGGGGGTTCTGGGTGGAGCTGGCATTGGACAGATGTTGTCAGTTGGTGGTACAGGAAAGACCACAGGTATTGTGGAGTCTGAATCCCGATTGATGAGCATGACCTGGATGGGAGCCGAGCAGCTGCGCAGATTCACCTGGTACTTCTTCTGACCAGCCTGGCCCTTAGGTACAACAGCATGTCAAAGAGCTCAAAGTTTAACAGAGCAGTTATAATCACTATTTCACATAAACCACAGATCACATGACTGCCAGTTTGTGATAGGAGATACTTGTAGGGACAAATCGACAGATACTTATTAAATGATTGTGCAGTTCCCCTAAACTCTATGAACGGTTCAGCTTATTTAAGCTCACTGTTTCGGTTTTACAACCACAAGTTACTATATTTACAAATGCAGGAGGAAGTTGTCAGCTAAAAAAAAGACCACTGGACATGTACCATAAGGTGGCGAGAAAAGTATTCCAAATGAATACAATTGTTATCTGTTGAATGTGCAAATAGGAAACTTTTTGCAAACAATTGCTGGCCTTCATGGCCCCCGAGTGGCCCAAACATCAGGTATTGCAGAGCAGTCATTACGACCACTATGTTTATGAATCGAAGGTAAGGAGTCTCTCGCTCAACTCAAGCAGTTTCCTATTTAGTTGAACTTGGCATTTGAAAAGTTTGAAAATTGCTCTGTAATAGTTGCACTGCAATATGACACAATTACTAGCACTAAGTTGATCAGTGTCACAACACACACAGGCCAGCTTATACAGAACAAGCAGACACGTGTTGAGGACCCTGTGGCTCAGTGCCAAGTAGTTTATCTTTAAGTTATAGTCTTTAATACCACAGAAACAAGGACTATATATAACAACAGCTTGGCATTCTCGTTATTGTTGGAATTAGTGCAGAGTAGAAAAAAACAACATATCCAAATCAGTAAAGCAAATTACCATTTCAGGCAGTGGCACCTCCAGTTGAGTCCCAGTTGGAGCTATAACGGCAAGAAGAGTGTCTCCGCTGAAAGCACTGCAGATGTCTTCATGTGTCACAAATTTATAAGTGGAGAAGTGTTCAGGAAACAGGATTACTTTTGGAGACAATAAACTGGAAAAACAAGACTGTGAGCATTGTGCTAGTCTGGATTAGCCTGGCTGTGATTTCACTGACTGACAATAGCAATTATATCCATAATCCTCTTCCATAGCATTTTCTCTGTTCAATAAGCAAACAATGTTAAAAGGATCAAGGCAGGATTTCTTCCCTCTGAAATGAGTAAATGGGGCCCCAAGAGGACTAGAATTACAAACTGTAGCGCGAGCCAATATAAAAAACCAAAAAGCAAAGTGAAATTTCACTGGAAATACATCAAAGCCTCAATATCACGTTTCATACACTTAATGTGAAAGCAGTGAGTTGACTTTTGGCCTTTGTACTAAGTAGTAAGTAGTACTAACTGTTAGCAGATTTTAACATGTCTTGACATGAGAGGTTAAAGTAGAATATCCTGTTCTACTTAATACTCCAAAAACAGGGCCAAGTGAAGAAAAGAGATGCATAAAAACACTGGCCCAAGTTGTACTAAACAAAAACAGAACAATCCTAAAATAGGTAAAAATCAAACCACCTCGAGATATAAATAAAGGATATTTGCTGGTGATGGGATCGCGATTAAGGTGTTTGATGTTCTCCTCTAGCCAGGCCTTCTGGTCATCCAGCTCTTTCTCTTGGGCCTGCAGCTCAGATATTTGGGCCTTTAAAACTTTCACCTGCTCCAGCACCTCCTGAGTTTGGCTGCCTGTGTTCTCCCCCCTCCACACAAAGAAGGTAAAAGATGAAAGTGTCAGATGCTGTAATATTTCGTCACTGCTGGTCATCGCTCTCTATATGAGAAAAAGAGTGCTTTTTAAAAATTCATCTGCTGAAAAGGCTAAGGTGAGGAAGATCATGCGTTTTTATAGATGCCAAAGCCAATTGAAAGTGTTGGTTAGACAGTTGACCGATTCCAAAATATGAAAAGATTTCTTCAAACCTCCACTGGATTATATTCTTGTTCTTCTTCTCAATCAGCCCCACACCTTCCAGCACGTTGGTGATGTCATATATCCTCCTCTTCTGCTTCACTGCCAAGCTGTCTGCAGCCTGTTAATTTAGACAGACACCTCCATAAAGGGGCTTACTCAGTAGCAGCTTCAGATGAACCCTTGTTGACAAGTTACAGATACTTTTATCAGACATTAAGAGAAAGTTTCTGTGGGTAACACTGCATGAGAGGGGGGAAAAATGAGACCAAAACAAAGCCAACAAATGAAGGATTTAGCAAATTAAGCTGCACAAACAGCAAATCAAAGTCTTTGGCAGAGGAGGACAGTTATACAATAGCAGAGGAGGAGGAGGAGGAGGAGGGAAAGGGTCTGAGGAACCTGCTGTGTAAACATTACCCAGCTTTGGCGCGCAAGATGAGAGGGAAAACTCTTTATCATTGATGCAAAAAGGGTACGTTTGTAGAATATAAAACTTCAGGTAGGGCTGAAGCCTCTTATCAAAACACTGAAAGCTGCTGGGCTGATGCTAGGTTGCATAACTTAAAGTCTATTATAAGCTTTATTTTTAGTGTTGAGTGATTAAAAAAGTCTCATCATGAACTCAAAATTTCCAGATCGTCGGTCATAAAAAAATTAAAAATAAAGAAGAAAAAACAGGTACTTGCACAGATTATTATGAGTTTTGGTTTCCAGATCCTTCAGGGAGTTGCAAGATAAATATGACGTGATTAAAGACAGGAAGAATAAAAATAAATAAATAACTTTTTCAGGCAGCCTCTTAACACACACCTACACACACACAAATTCATCTCCTGGCCCCTTGGAACCACCTAGTGGAATCATTAGGCCTAGGCTGAGATCCAAACATGATTTTATGACTATTATTGAGTTCTTTTTTCTTTGCAAAAGTTTGAATAATAAAGAAATGGACCTGTATATTTACACCTGTCATTGTGACATTGCTTTAAAACCCTCAAATAATGTGATATAAATGCTTAAAAATGTTGGGATATTATTTTACTGTTCATAAAAGTCTGATCTGTTTACTAAAGTCCAAATACATCTATATCTGTTATTTTAAATGTTTTAAACAGATTTTTTTCAATTTCACAGGCTCACAGCAGTAATACTATTGTCCCTACAGGTGATTGTCATATAGAGCAGGACCTCTCTAATCATAAGTAACTAACAAAGCAACAACAGGTGGCCAAGTAGCAATGAATACACATTTCATCCTTTTATTGTTCCATCAAAGTTAAAATTAGGCTATGGACAGAATTTTGTGTGAGCAACACAAACAGAAAATTTGCTCCGATTATTATTAGTTATTTATTTTGGGTATTGTGTAATGGCACTTCATACGTGAGCTTTTTCCCTTTGCCACCTTTGTTAATCATCTTAAATATGCATAATTCCAAGTCACACAGTTAGAAGTCACTGGTGTGGCTAGCCTATACTCCCTGTGCAGGTAATGTGAAGCAAGGGGTAAGCACAGAGAGAAAGTGAGATGGGTCTACTGTTGTTCTAGAGCGTAGCATCTCACACTATATTCATTTTACTCTAAAAGGTTGCTATTATCAGGTTAAAAACTAAAGACTGCTGGAGTGGGCTAAGCCTCCAATGTGGTAAGATCCCAACAGCTCCTTTGAAACAACCACAGGCAGTAAAACGGGATTTCAGGGTCGTCTGCATTAAAATTAATAATAGCGTATTTTAATGCAATTTAATTAGGATGGAGTTAGTTTCGAAGGCGGTTCCACACTCAGCATATTAAACGTAACATTCTTCTCTAAATGAATTACCCTGCAATTTGAGTCTAAGTGTACTTTAGATGCACAGAGGGTGCAGTAACACAACAAACAACATTTTGTGGGCTATGTTCAACAAAAGCCAGTTTACTGCTATTAACTATTTCACTACAAACTGGTGGCTACACACATCTTCTGAAAACTAGTACATTAGGTTTTCCCTTCTGAGTTATCGGACACACTGACGATAGGGCCAAGTAATGGCGGCTTGCTAGTCCACCTGTTAACTAAATCAGTGCACCTGACGGGCCCCATTTGTGACCGACAGCCCTTTGTTCACAGCAGCTGTGTGGTACCACAACACACCGATTAAAGTTAAGCTAAACAACCTACAGACAAGACTGAGCCTCCTCGTTTCACTGACCACTTTCAAATCAAGGACGCCATCCTTAGCTTCTTGTAGCAGACTGACAAACTTCATGGTGAGGAGCCCCAAACTTTTCTCGTGGCGACTCGGCGTCGAGCGTACGGTCTCCGTCGTCTCAAATTCCATCTTCTTTCTATAAAAGAAACTCGTACTTATTTTAACTCAGCTGTCTAAGTCAAAGTACAAATAAGGACCATTCTTTCTGTTAACAGATAATACGCCTCTGTTACCTCTACGGGACACCGCAGTACCTGCAGGTTTTTTAAAGGAACGGACGTTACGTTGGGTTACAGTTGCCACGGCAACCCTTGTCGCGCTCGTGCCGTGGTCGCGCGCCCCCACGCCTGCCATGGAAGCCCCGCCCCCACCAGAGTCTGACCCCACCCCCTGTCTGCTGCCGGACAGCTCACGTCAACATGAGTAAAATGTACGACAAAAACCCAAATAATAGTAAGAAACAATAAAAACTACTTGTGACAAAACATACAAGGTGCTACATCAAAACAAATCAAAACTTTCAGCTGTCATAAAAACTGAAAATAATGAATCATGGTATTACTATACAGTAAATCCAGTAAAAGAAATGATGCAGTCCCAACAGTTTTGTTCACAATACTAATCTAAAATTTAAAATCAATATTTCACAAATTTAACATGGTATCACATACTTGTATAATGCCTCCCTCTGATTATGTGTCGAACATTTGTGATAAGCGCTGCATTGCAAAGAAAGCTATAACAAAACTGTTCAGCTGTAGCAAAGTTTATAAAATTCCCTGACTGTGTTAATATTTCACTATGCTGCTATGCCTTCAGTTTGGTTCTCTTCTATGTTCGTTTGACTCTGAGAGAAGTGATTCATTGTAAACTGCGGTAAAGCTGACCAGCCTCTGTGTACAATTGAACTTCTTTATAAATAAAAGAACCACAAACATTTTATACCAAATGCCCACTCAAATCAATTCCCATCTTATGTTAAAACAGAAAACAACAATAGGCACAACAGAGTTTATTTAGATAAATTACACTATACTAAACAATAACAATAACTAAAATTAAAATATACAAAAAATGTGGTATTAAAAAAATGTATGGATTATAAATATGGATTAACCCTGGACAGTTGTAGTTTTTAAATGACAACTGTCCACGGTTACTCTACATTTCATGTTAAAAGTCTTTTAGTACACTGGTGAGACGTTTCATCTTCTCTTCCATGATTCTCTTCTTAGTTTCAGTCTCTTCCAAGAGCTGACGCATCTCCTCCTCCACCTCGAATACCTGAGGAAGAAACACGGACAGACAAGCTTAGCTCCAGAAAACACCGGAAAACATTTTTTCAAATTGTTCAATGCAGAATTTTTGCAGTTACTGGTGAAATGCAATCAGTTTCAGTGCATCAATAGAGGTGAGACAAGACTGCATAAAGATCCATTTAATATTTATACTCTGACACTGGTTTCTGACTTTGCATTTTATTTACTTTAAAAACTCTTATTTTCTCCAGAAACTCTCAAGCATTTCAAGGACTGCTGGACAATATTGATTTACTATGTCAAGAATGTCCTTTAACTTTTAAGTGACTGAATCTCTCTTAGAAATTAAACACAATTATAAATCCAGCAGTGAAGAAAGCAACAAATGCTTTGGAAGAAATGTTTAAATAGCTGTCTCTCTGCCAACATGATCACCTATAACCACTTTCAAAACTCACCATGTAGTGAAACATTGGTTATGTTCACATTTCTCAGAGATGAACACATTGGCACACAGCAGCTACTCTTCCCTCTGAGAGGAAAAATATTTCTGTGAAAACTGTCAATGTATTTTACCTTCTGATTGGCTTGTTCTATCTTTTTTTGTTTTTCATTAGCCAGACGTAGCAGCTCAGCTTGATGCGTGGCCTGAACAGACTCCAGCTGTCGACGAAAAGCATCGTCCACACAGTGTAACTTCTCCACTGCAGTTCTGCAGGACAGACAACCACAAATAAATCATGTTACATGAAATGTGCCACTTTTCATGCTGTCAATACTGCCTTGGGTGAAACAAATGTACAGATATACAGCACTAACACCGAAAGGGCAGACTTATGTCATATTTTATTAGAATGAAATCACCTACCTGCTCTTGTTTCAAGTTAAACATCAAAAAACACCATGATTAGGCTCTTTAAAAAGCCTAAGTATGATGTGACCCCAGATTTTTTAAGCAACAATTTGAGAAGGGCCTTGTTTGACAAATTGGTCACAACTGGGCCAAACTTTTCAGAGTGAAGGAACTATGGTCTTACTTTCAGGCTTATGAGGGAAAGTAATAATAATAACAATAATGAACAAATCTGCTCTCTTGTAGGATTCAGTAAAAGTACAAAACTTCACTAACTTGTTTTCAGTAGGCAGGCAAATATAGAATGTATTTGTTGATATTGTAACATACTTGTGTGCTTCTGTTGCTTTATCTCTTTCTTCCAGCAGCACACGCTCCTTGGACTCAAAGTTGTCTTTCATACGCTTCACCTGGCTCTCCAGTCGAGTGAGCAGGTCCGCCTTCTCCTGCCACTTCTTACTGGAATCACTAAAGGAAGAGATGCAAAATAGAAAACATACTGGTTTCACAAACCACTTCCATCACAAATATTTGATAATCATCAGCAGCAGAAGCAGTAGGCATAGCCACAATAAGAGTTAGGTGTGCCTCAAATATCAACATTACCCCAGCATTAAGTTTAAAAATGATGTGGCAGTGTTTCATTTGGTTATGATGCATTTCGACTTGTTGTTCTTTGACCTTTTTATGTGCATGTTTAAGTTTTTGTGTGTGTCTGGGATGGGACACTTGCCTGTAAACTCTTCTGACCTCGTCGAGCTCTGCCTCCTTGTCTTTCAGCTGCTGTTTCAGTTCCTCCTTGCGCAGGCTAAGATGTTCCAGTTGCTGCTTCAGCTCCGCCTGCTGGCCCGTTTCCTCCTCCAGCTGCTGCTGAAATCTCTTTTGCGTCTGGACCACCTCCTCCCTCAGCTTACGGATCTGATCGTCTCGCTCTTGTAAGGACTGAACAGCAGGAACGTGGCAGACGAGGAGAGGCTGCATCAGTGTGTCTCAAGATACACACAGACAAATATTTACAGATACAAAAATGCACATAAACATAAATCAATTCAATGCACACCATAAGATGAACAAATATGCAAGTTACATTTTGCTAGGCTCTGAGCGGATGTGTTTTTTCGTTTTGTTTTGTTTTTTTTGCTACTGTTTGGATTTTAGTTTAACACACTGGCTTCAATAGCATCATGCTACCTCTTTGAGTCTGCGAATGGTCTCTGTCTGGTCATCCATGATTTTAGTTTTAATTTTAAGGCCATCATTGTCCCTTTCATTCTGTTTCTTCTGATTTTCCAGCTCGCTGCTTAGCACCTCTATCCTGGCCTCCAGACGTCCACGATCCTGAGCCAACGATGCTCCTGGTAAAGACAAATATAGAAAATTGTAAATTAGATCATGTCTATTACTTCTTCACTTTTATTCTTTTTTTTCTTTTAATTATGTTTTATGTAGATTTTTCTTTTTTCTTTTTTTTTTTACTAAATGTCTTGTAAATGCTGTTTTAATATTTTATGTAAATGCATTTTAACAACTTGTGTGTGAAACGAGTGCCATGACTGTAAGAGTTTGGTTTACCCAAGATAACCACTTGATGGCAGGCTTTACTTGATACAGATCAAAAGAAAAAAAATGATCAACACATACAGTATTGAGCCTCCTTGATGTTGGCCCTCAAGCAGAATCTCCAAAATGTTACAAGTGACTCACAGGTCCATGCATTGCAGACAGACTCAAGGGACAACCTGCACTAATGTCTACATATAAACAACTAAAACTGCTCTCCTGAGTCTTTCGTGTACTATAAGGCTGACTCAAAGTGCACAACGCATGTCCTCTTGGGTGTGTCCCACCCTGCTGAGCGAGCTCCTGTCCCCAGATCCTCCTCTCTGCCCTGAGGCCGTCTATCACCGACTCCTGAGCTGTGAGCTGAGACAGCAGTCGGGCCTTGTCTTTTTTGAGCAGTTCGAGCTGCAGACTGAGACGCCGGTCCTGCTCCACCTCTGCTTCCAAGGAATGCATACGTCTCTAGGAGAGGGACAGACAGTATTAATGATCAACAACCATCTGTCATGGCTGGCAGATGGAAAGGCAGCTGGAACATTCAGTATTCATGATGTCTCAAAGTAGTCAGTTTCCTACAAGCTCAGGGTGAATCATGTTTGATAACGCAGTCCTCATGCCACTCTGCTCTACCCTATACACGAAAGGGATCAGGCAATTGGGGTTTTTAATGTAGATTAGGTGCAGGAAAGAAAATCTTCAACATTTGACACTCTTACTGCACTGCATCACACCTTCAAATCAGCAACAGCATCTCTCTTTGCTTTGATGAGCTCAGAGATGCGGTTCTTCTGTTCTTTAACCATGGCTGTGAGCTCTTGCACCAGAGAGCCAGATTTCTTCTCCCTCTGCTGGGACTGGGCAAGAGCCGCCTTGAGCTCCATCAGCTCCGCAGTCATCTGATCACACGCCTCCTTCACCTGCAGAACAAGAGCGAGGGTGTGGTACTGAATGTCAAAAGGAAATCTCAGGAGTTAAACAGAGAGAAGTCCTTCGGCCCAAGTATTACTTGACTTGACAATTTTGTCAATCAGTGTCAACGCTGACAGAACAGGTTTCAGAGTCATGATTCACCAAAAGCAATCCTTGAATGATATGTTTGGAAATCTATATCTTACTTAGATTTTTCTCAAAGAGTAAAAGTTTGATCATTTAAAGGAGGCAATTGTGTGAGCTGCAGCAATCAAGAATAAGATTGCATTTTGTGCAGAGGCTGAATGAAATCTGTAGCCATAAGAAGAAAATAAAAAAGTGAATCATGTCCAGTCCTTTTGTAAAGCTTTCTTCCTGTGGCAACCACATACTACTTATCCAGAGTCAAATGATCCTAATTCAATCTCAGCTTTTAGCATCAGGCTAAAAAAATACACAAAGTCTATGAAGATTGGGGTCAATTTCACTTCAATCATTTTACTTTTTACTGTACAAGGAAATCACTTATAAGCTGGACTGCAAAGAGAATGTAGTGTAAAATTCAGGACAACACTTGAGTGATTACAGGCCATCTGGATGGCAAGTGTCCAAGTTTCAGCAGACCTCGGAGAAGCGAGTGGCCTCGATGGTTAGAGCCATGCGGAACTCGTCCTCCAGAGCAGCGTACTGTTTCCTCCCTTCTGCCAGTTTCTCTTGCAGTTCAGCCTCTCTGTGACTGTGTCTCTGTTCCACTGATGATAGTTCTTTTGCCACTGCCTCACGGAAATCTGCCCCACCAGGTTGTAACCGCAACTCCAGCTGTTTTCTGTGAGAAAGATGCAAACATTTTAGGATGGGACATTGACATCTTTCACAGAAACAAAATAGCCTGCATGTAATGTTAGAATATTCACTGACAGTACATGAAACTATATATATAAATATATATATAAATATGCATAAAATAAACCTCATGACTAATTTGGACTTTGGTATAGTCACCACTTATATTACGAAATACAGATTCAGAATCAGCTGATTCTTTGTACACTAATTTTAGTACTGTATAGTATTAGGAAACTTAGTACATCCGTACAGTTAATGGAGGATTTCAAAAGTAGTAAGTACATAAGGGTCAAAATTGCAACACATAAATTTGACACAAAAGCAATCATGGATAGAAGATGAACCTGGTATCAAAATGTAGCAAAATAAAAAGACCTTCCATTTTCTCTAACTTGTTTTGAACCACCTATCCCACATCGAGATATGGGATGCACTTTTTAAATTTTTCACCAGTAAATTATCAGAAAACAGATAACACATCCAGGGTACAATGTTTATGACTCAGACATTAAAGTGCTGTTGTGATAGACCTCATGATATTAATGTTCAGAGTTGGTTACAGGAAATAAAGTCGTGCTGAACAAAAATGACATTCTGATTTTAGATTGTGACACCTGGAGTAAATGTAACTTTGATTGGATGGCAGTTTTTAACAGAGCTCAAATGTGTTTTTACATTTTTGAAAATTTCATGTGTATATTTACTCTACATATGAAGTTAATAGGGTAAGAAATTGTATCGTAAGTGTACATTTTTGACCAACCCTTATGTATTTCAAGGGCATGTAACTCTGAAAATATTCATAGTATGAAGACAAAATTTCATATTAAATAAATATAAATATTGTATATTAAGTAAATATTTCGTAAATATACTAAAGTTACTTTACCAAAAAAATCTGCTGATTCTGAGGGAGTCAGGTGGGAGGAACTAATTAATTTATTTTTAATGGAATGACCCACAAGCACAAAACCTCACCATTGCTTATAAAAAATAAGTTGATACAGAGAACAGGGTCTTTAAAAAGGGAGTGAAGCTGATATTAAGCAAGACTTATTCAAGTGATTCAGCAGAAAGCCCTTCAGGTGTACCTGTGCGCTTGTTCCCTGGATGCCAGCAGTTCATGCAGCTGCTGCAGTTTGTCTTTGTGCTGCCGCACTGAGGCTCTCTGGATATCCAACTCCCTCTTCAGAGCTGCTGCCCTGTTCTCCAGCTCCTGGTACCGCTTCATCTGAGGAAGGTCAGACATGTTTTGCACAAGCCTTTAGGAGCTGAATGACCCTCTTTTCAGAATCCTTTTATCTCTTGGCATTTATTCAGTCTGTGGGCAGGATCAGTGCACTGCACTGGTATAATCAAAAATTACAGCAATAAGGGGAGTTCAGCGGTAGGTTTTAGGGTGTAGCAGAAGCAACATGACAGATATACTTCTGTATCACACCAAAGGAACTCTGTAGATGCATAGACAACAATTATATGTCAAGACCTGATTAGCATCACCTGACTGAATATACACTATCTGTAGCAAAACAATGTGTTCTCGGGGAAACAAACTTAAATGTGTACCTCCTCAGCCTGCTGGCAAGCCCTGAGTGTCTCTCCGTGGGAGATACTTTCCTCCAGTCTACGCAGCGCAGTCTTGTGTTGTTCTTCACTGCTGTGGGCCTGCTCCAGCTGCTGGTTTAGGGACTGACAACTCCCCTCCAGCTCCTCAACATGAGCCTGCAGCTCAGAGCGCCCCGATCGCTCTTTCAGCAACATATCTTTCAGTCTGGATGGGGAAAAACCATGATAAGGGTGCGCAAGAGCAGCAGCAGCAACACCCTGAATTTCTATTTTTACTGCATATAGAAATTGGCAAGGGACACCACTACCAGTTTTGTGATGCCCTTGATTGTCCTCTTCCAGCATTAAATACATGATAGCTTGTGAAATTGACAAAATCTAACATCATAGCATAGTCAAAATCTTATCTCAGAGGATAGAAAATGAAAGTGGGAATGGATGCAGCAGTCTGGTTGAAAGAAAGAAACAAGCTGCACACAGCACAACTAAGCAACCCCAAAACTGTAAAGCATCTCATGCACAGTAATGCCATTGCAAAATCTGTCTTGATGAGTCATTTCTCTGTAATCTGTCTCCCGATGAGCGCAGACATCAACAGTTACAGCAGTATTCAGTGTCATTAGAGAATGACAGTTCAGATTGATTTGTGTAATACAGTTAACATATGTACGTCACCAGGCTTCTAATTACAACCATAATGCAGATTTATCTAAGCAGGAAGTGATGCAAACAAGAACAGAGCAGTCACACCTTGCTAAAAAAGCCACATGTATATACCAATGGAGATAAGAAATTTAAATCATAGATACTTAAAGCCGCTAGGATGTAAATATAAGAGATATAATCAGGATGGATGTGTAGGTTAATGATTTTCATACTAAACTGCTTTATTATCACAGACAACTGCCTGCATATTTGAAGATTTTGAGGTGATGAAGCTAAAACATGTACTTAGTTTCACAAGAGGCAATGCCACAATGACAGTGAAGACTTTAAACGGTGGGATGGATATTCATTGTTCAAGAATGAGACAGGCAGCGGACCCTGGTCTCAAGAGAGCTAATACAAAAGATGAAGAGGGTAGAAATGGATGAGGATCCATTATGCAGTTGACTACTGATATCCACAGAGACAAGTTCAATTGTCCTTTTTTTCCAATATGATTTCTGCTTTACAGCTGCCAAACCAATTCAAGTGGAAGTTTGTGTGCACAGTGCATACATGTCCGCCTGTGCTTCCCTCTTACCTGTCAGTGGTGTGCAGGGCCATGCTCTGAAGGTCTTTTTCTTCGCTAACCTTTGTCTGCATGGACTTTATCTCCTCTGTCAACTTTCTCACAGCTTGTTCTGCCTTCCAGCGTCTCTCCCTTTCCTGGTCACGCTCCTCTACAATTGTCTGAGTAGCACACATACACAAAAACATGAATATACACTACGGTAAAACACAAAGACAGACAAACAAACAGCATTATTCCAGATTCAAGCTTAAAAATGAGTTTCTATTCACAACTCTCATAAAGCTTTTAAAAAGTCTCCCCATACTGTCTGAACATTTTTGTTAAATAAGTGAGTTCCTGCGACTAACACTGTAAAAAAAAAAAACCTGACGTAAACCAGACTATCAGTATTCAGACTGCATTGTGGGTAATGTAGGCATCCGATTTTAAAGAAAGAAAGGAAAAATGTAGGGAATAAAAACAGATGGTGTCACTTCTACAAAAATCATCTTCTATTTTTAAGATCTGCAGATGAATTGTGCAATTGTTGTTGCCAAAGTGCATGCATCCACTATCAGAAAGGGTCTGCACAAATTGAACTGCACGGCTGCCAAAAACAAACAAAGATGGAGCCTTTTCAAATAAATAATGTGCTCTGGACAGACAAGGACAGAGTGTTTTGGCCACAAAAACAGTACATATATTTAGTTTAGACTGACTTTTTCAGACAAAGAAACACACTGTAAAACATTATGATGGAGATGTTCTGGTTGTGGAGGACTGTGGAGCTTGAAGTCATTGACTCAACTAGGAATTTTGCTCAAGTATTAAAGAGTGCTTTAAGATAAAAGTTGAACTGGATGTGCACATTTCAACAGGATGATGATCCTTAGCAACAGCAGAAAATCAACCAAAGAATGGTTAAAACAAGAAGAATAGATTGTTATGGAATTGTCCAGTCAAAGCCCAGATTAGAATCCTATTTGAATGTTGTGGAGGGTTTTTAAACAGGTAGTACATGCAAGAAAAAACACAAAAATCTTGCAATTTTGTATGGAAGACTGGTCAGACATTTCCGCAAGAGAATGCCAGAGACTGGTGGACGATGATGGACAAAGAGCGATTTCTACGAAAGGGAGCAGCATGACCTTCTGAAGCCACGGGTGTACTCAGTTTTTTGGATGTATGGAATGGCTTCTTCTGTTTTTAACTTTAGTGAGCAAACAGATGGTAGACTCTTGACTTTACTCCTAGTTTGTGTCTAAATCAAAAATCAAGTATCAGGGAATTTACTGAAATTGCGAAGATATGATCTGTTTTTCAGGTTTTTAGGTTATTACAAAAAGCTCAAAAAACTGAGAGGAAAATGTAGATATTGTGGTGATGTTTTTGTATCCACTCTTCTGTTACTCAATATATTTGTTTACAGAGATGTTTGCAAAAAAAAACACCACTTTACTCCCTCCTTGTACAGCGACTTAACCTTTTTCACATTACATTCACTCAATAAAAATAGAGGCTGCCATTCAGCCTGCAGGTGACCTATCTTTTGTGTACCCTGTAGGTTTCCTCCTCCTCAGTGGACTTGGTTTTCACATCGCCTGAGGCCTTGGCTGCTCTCAGAGGTCGCCTCCTTGTTGGCCCTGCTGCCTCTACACCCGCTGCGCCGCCAGCCTTCCTCCTGGGCCCCACAGCAGACTTTGAAGTCCTCTGTTTATGATTCTCCTGATCACTGCACATAAAACAAATCACAGGTATTGAACCAGCTGTAAGATTGATTCCAAAGAGCCTGCAGCTAATGTCTGGCTAAATAAAGGTCAAAGCAAATGACTTACTCACTTTTATAGGGAGGCAAAGTTTGAACAACTTTGAATTGAATTTGAGCTACTATTTTAAAATCACCTTGCTTTTTGATGAGGACAGTTGTGAGCTTGCTTAAGTGAAATTACTGAATCTTAAGCACATGTCATCTGTGGCTGATGAAGTAAGATGAGGGGGAGACCACAGAAGTGTGGTCGTTAATCACTAGAGTGAGGTGACAGTTGTAATTTCTAACAGAGAGGAGGAACGTTTACAACATCGCTCATAGAGGAATATTTATCACCCTCTTTCATCCGAGAGGTAAAAGGATTTCCTCTATCATCAAGAGACCTGATTATATAAGTTGACGCATGATGGACAAAATGGGAATATCTATTGCTGCATATTGTGTTTGATTATTATAGATGCAGACTTTGTCAGTAACAACAACCTAAACACTTCTGTGTCAGCAAACTTTGGCAAGTGTGTGAATGTGATTATCATGGCTCAGAGGCACACCCCCTGATTTTGTTATGGTGCCCACCAGTGCTTAAAATGTCTCAACGTAATTCATTTAACAGAGTTCTGAGGAACTCTGGGCTTTGCCAATGTAACAGCTAGCTCCTGTAACAAAATCAGGGATTACAAATTTAACATAACAGCAAAAGAAATTATTTTCATTACAAAATATACCTGACAGCAGAAACATCTTTTTTGTGCATAATCACCTGTCTGATCTCCTGCCCTTGGTCTCCTTGGTGGTTGTGCTTGATGCTATGCTGTTGCAGCGTTTGGGAATCCTTGTTCGCCTCCTGTTTTCCTTCCCGCTCTCACATTCGCTTTCTGAAGTACGGTCTGTGTCCCTCTTGGCTTTCCGTACCATCACCACAGGGCGAGCAGGGCTGCTGGATTTATCACCTGCAGGTGCCTGGATACATAAGAGTTAAAAAATAACACAATAGTTGAGAAAATAAAATCACTGTTTAACAGAGTAGAAGAGATGAATAATACATTTGGTATGTTTGATTGAGTTACCATTCTGTGGAAATGTTTTAGGCACTAAAAGTAAAGTGAGGATGCTTTTTAAAATTAATGCCTCAAATAGTTTTTAATTATCTATTAACTTCATAACAAGAGCAATAAATGTAAAAATCTAAACCAAATGACTGTTTAATGTGTATTTAGTTTGTCGTTAAAGCAGTCCACATCCATAGTTTTCTGAGGTACTGGGCAGGCAGATTGCTTCAAGCATCTTGAAGAACAATTGCTCTGTTGATTTAGACTGTCTCAATTTCTTCTGCCTCTTCATGTAATTCCCACTGACTGTACACAGGGATGGACAAACACTCTATGACATCACCCAATAGGTTCTGTGCTAGCTGTTACCATCTTGGCAGTGTTTGACTCATCTCAACTCTTCTCTAATCCAAATGTAAACATCACTGGGCCTGCACTTCTGCACTGGTTTCATTTCTGCACTATGGAGGTTACAGCCTAGTAATCCCACGCTGACGTGATGACTGTAAGATCAGAGCATTGTGGGGGGTTTGCCTTGTGTTGCACAATTCCCTGCTCTACTTCTGGCTGAAAATGGATCTGGTTGTGTTGTTGGGGTTGCTAATGATAAATTTGTGACCAATCTGACAGCTCCCTGATAGCCCTGCATTTAAGGATGTGAATCTAAATGCCTAAAACTTTTGCAAAGCACTGTATGTGGTGCACAAGCTGTACTAAAGCCTTAATACAACATGTCAGTCACATGCTGTAAACCGTACAACATAATCAGTCAGTCACCACAAATCAACACAGAGAGCTTCTATTAAATGAATGAATGGCTTTCAGCAGTGTTAAATGCACACCTGCTGGATGAGCTGGGACACCTGGTGCTCCAGTTTCCTGATGCGCTGTTCATTGACAGGGTCTGCTGGATCAACCACAGTGGAACGAACCAGCTGGAAACACTGCCGATCCGGTTGCTTGACTGCGTCTGGGATTGTTTCAGAGGCAACCCGGTGACGAAACTGGGTCAGCAGCTGATCTATGCGAGGCGTGCTGAGAGGGCCATCCCCTCTAACCTGCAATGCAAACGTAACTTTTACTTTAATAATTTATGTTTTTGAGTTCCTTCTTGGCTTTACACTGTGAGTGTGATATGAAATTTGTCTTCTTGTGGACCTGGTCAAACCAAGAAAAACAAAATAAACCGCCATCTGGTACAATGAACATGTAAAGTCATTTACTGGTTAGGGACCATACTTATAAACTTTCACTAGACCTGGTGTAAAATCACCAAATTACAAAATATTTCAGCAATTTGGTGACACGTGATATTCAGCTATTTACAGCTATTTGGCTTAATGATCAGAACTGTCTCTCAACTTTATATTTGTTCAGTAACATAACACAGTCCTTATTTGTTGGCATTTCTGAAAAGTTTGCTTTTTTCTAAATTCCATTCATCCATCCATTATCTATACACTGCTTAATCCTCACTAGGGTTGTGGGGGGCTGGAGCCAATCTCAGCTGACTTAAAGCAAAGGCAGGGGACACCCTGGACAGGTCGCCAGTCTATCACAGGGATACACTTAGAGACAGACAACAAGCACACTCACATTCACACCTACGGACAATTTAGAATCACCAATTAACCTCAACATGTTTTTGGACTGTGTGGGAGGAAGCCAAAGAACCCGGAGAGAACCCATGCTGCCCAGAGAGAACATGCAATCTCCACGGAGAAAGATTCCAGGTGTCCTCACCGGGACGCGAACCGGCGACCTTCTTGCTGCGAGGCAACGGTGCTAACCACCGAGTCCCCTTGCAGCCCTTTTTCTAAATTCCAGTACACACATGTGGAAATCAAATTCTGTTTTCTGTTATTTCTATTATATCAAATGTAAAATCTACTATCATGTGGACAGTTCTTCAGTTCTTTTGCACAGCATTGCTTTCTGATGATGGTATTTTGTGTAAAGTTCAGATATAGAGCTTGGCAACACTGCATTTTTGTAATCTGCACCATGTGCTTGGAATATTTCACAAAACAAATTTGATTTTGAAATGTGCTTGTCAGGTAACTAAAAGCAAAAAAAAACAACTTTTGTTCGAAATGTAATTGTTTCAAAAGCTTCTTTCTCACATGCCTCATATCACATTACATCGTACTATACAGTATATAAAGGGTGTAAATACATTGTTGTGTCTCTTGCAAAAAGTGATAATCTATGTGTAGAGATTTCCTTGTTAAATAAAACTTGATTTAACAAAAATTTAACTGAAAAGCCACCATTACAAATAAACAGGTAGTATGAGAATTACAAGTGAAATAATTATGGTAACATTGCAAAAAAATAAAAATAAAAATAAATACCACTTCACTGTGACTTGTGTCTGAGGACAGCAGGAGGTCTACGTAGTCTTCCAAACCAGGGATATCACAGGGACTGCCTAGACCTGGTGGTGATGGATTTCCCAGCTGGTCCAGGCCATCCAGAACTGTGATCTGTGGCAGCGACTGCATGACAATCTCCCTGTAACCTGCAGAAAGACAGAAACACACGTGCATTACAAAAATCTGACAGGCTGGAGCAACCTGACTGCCCCCCATCGCTTACTACTGTCACATCAGTTGTTTATTTGGCCTTCATGAAACAGCAGGTGTTCGGGTGGTAATAAAATAATCGAATTTGCATGAATAACCTCTGAATGTTACCCTCAAATGCACTACTGAAGAAGTTTACTTCACAGGAAGTGAGCACAGTATATCCAGGCACATTGACAGCAAGGGTTGTAAGAGTGCGTTAAGTGTGCTCTCTTGGATTTAAAAAGATGAAAAGAGACTCTCAACAACTACTGCTGGGAATTAATCATGAACAGAAAAATATGGATAATGGGCACACAGCAAAAAGACTTTTACATTAATATAACTGCTGCCGGTCCAATTAACAAAGAGGCAGAAAGAGAAGATGCACAGAGAGACAAACAGACCCCAGTCGTTACTATTAATGGCTGTCAGTTTGACTGATTTTCACTGGGCTTTCATTACAGATCGTACAGGGAGGGTGATGAGTCACTTATTCTGTGAAATCTAAAAATATATTTATATATCCCTTTGGACTAGTGAGTGATTCCTCAAAAACAAGGAAAGAAAATAACCTGTGTTTGTGTTCTCTGGTGTTCCTACATTTGAGGCACTTCTAACACATCTGATGCACACTTTAGGATGTTGCTCGTCTAAGTCAGAGAACAGCATCACAGAGGCTTTATTCAGCCTTAGGAAGAGCTGCTCTCAGTACTCATCCAGGCTCAGAAAACACTTGTGAGATCGTCTGCATATCAATTTCTTTTACACTGAATGATGAATTGATATGCTGATATCCTGTATGCCATTTTATTCTTTTCTTTTCTTTTTGTTTTGCTTGTTAGTCTGTAAAAAAAAGGTACTGAATGTCCTCACAGACTAGCAAGTTCAGTGGATTAATCACTCAGTCAAAGGAAAATGCATCTATTTTAATAACCTTTTTACTAAATTTTAGGCAACAAATATGAACATTGCTGTTCCTAGCTTCTCAGTGACAGTTCCGCACTTATGATAGTAAAATACATGTATTTGGATTTTTAACTGTCGGACAGAAAAATAATCAACTGGGTTTGCAGAAAACCTGTGTCTTGTGCATGTGTGTGCTCGTCCATCTGATCAGTCTATCAGCATTTTTTCCTCAGAAATGCAGACTTCATCTTTTATCAATAAATCAAAAAATAAATAAGAAATTAACTGATGAAAATAGCATTAATTACAGCCCTAGTTTCAACACTGCTGACAATGATCTAACACACCCCGAAATATTCAAGAAATAAAAAAATAACAAATTCACTGATACATGACTGATAGCCCCCCGGCAATGACCTCAAATAGCTGAGTTCAAACAGAAACAAACTGAATTTGTTTCATATACCATGTCAGATTTGCTGAATGCCCTTTAACTGTATCATGTTTTCAGTATTTTGTGTTATAATGAGAAATTCCACCCCTGAGAATCAACACTTGTCTCTTTTTGTTTTTCTGTCTGAAATGCCATTTATAGCTATTATATCAGACACGACTCTTGTTATAGCTGTACTCCATAAAGGGAAGTGGGCAACCTGACATTTCATGTAGACTGTTAATTAGGACATCTGGTGGCCTTTTGGTTCAGGTAAGATATACAATGCTGCTGGTCCATCTCTGGTTTGAGACCTTTGTTGTCTGTGATCTGCCTGCTGTTTCTGTCTATATTTCTCCTACCATCATTAAACAAAGACAGAATCCTAAAAACTAGTCTTAGACTTGCCAGCTGTCAGAGAAAGACAGCTGCCACTGACAGTCATGGACAAAGGTTTACATATACTTGTAATGTCTTGAGTTTCCAATGACTCCTACAACTCTTACTTTTCTATGATGGAATCATTGAAACCTGTGAATCTTTGTCAGAACGATGATAGTGCATTTTGGTTCTTTCATAAATATATTACAGGTCGTCTAGAAATACGACAAAATCTGCTGGGTCAAAAATATACACACAGCAATGCCAATGTTTGGTTCTGTCCTTTAGTCATTTTCTCCTCAACTAGGTGCTTTTGGAAGCCGTCCACTAGCTTCTGGTTGTATCTTTGACCGCTCCTCCTTGCATAGTTGGTGCAGTTCGAAGAAATTTGTTGGATATTTGACACTGACTGACTTCTTCAGCACAGTCCACAGGTTCTTGAAGGAGTTCAAGTCAGGACTTTGGAAAGGCTGGTCTAAAACTTCCATTCTAGCCTGATTTAGCCATTTCTTTACCATTTTTGATGTGTGCTTGTGGTCATTGTCTTGCTGGAACACCCAACTGCATCCAAGACCAACCTTGTGGCTGATGATTTTAGGTTTTCCCAAAGAACATGAAGGTAATCCTCCTCACCATAATTCCATTTACTTTGAGTAAAGCACCAGTTCCACTGGCACCAAAACAGCCCCCAGAGCATAATACTACCACTTCCATGCTCGACGGTAGATCTGGTGTTCTTGAAGTTTAAGGCCTCACCTTTTTCTTCCAAACACATTGTCAATCATTATGCCCAAATAGCTACTTTTTTTTTTGTTTCATCTGGCCACAGAACCTTCCTCCACAAGGTCTTTTCTTTGTCCATGTGATCAGCAGCAAACTTCAGTCCCATTTCTGGAGGAAGAACTTCCTTCTTGCATGGCAGCCTCCCAGCTCATGGCAATGTAAAACACACTTGACTGTGGACACTAACACTTGTGTTCCAGCAGCTTCTAATTCATTACAAACCTGCTTTGTGATGATTCTTGGTTGACTCTTGACCTGACCAATTGTCTCTCAGCAGCAGGTAGTAGTTTGCATTTTTGCCTTACTGTGGCAGTGATGCAGCTGTGCCATGCATTTCATACTTTGTTTGCACAGTTAATTTTGGGATCAAAAAACACTTTCAAGTGGCTCCAAGTGACCTTCCTGACTTGTTCAAGTCAATAATTTCCTTTTTCTGACCTTTCCTCAGACTTTCTCACTGTAGTGTTTGTGGCTTAGTCTGATGAGAGGATCAAATGGGCCCTGTTTAAATTGGCTCACAGAAGTCAGCAGCTGTATTCAATTGTTTTCACTCACGAGAAGTGAAGAGGCCATTACGCTAAGATAATTTGAGTATTTTAACCGTAGACGTCATTGGATATTCAAGACAGTCATAATAAACATGGTCTTTACAAGTGTATGTAAACTTTTGTTCACTTGTATGCATTGTGATGTATACACATGCCAAAGTACTGTTTTCTGTCCACCCTACCTGGTGACATACAGAGAGGATTATCTCTGCCATCCTGGCTTAAAGTGACCTCTCTTAAACCTTGTAATCCCAGCAGGCACTGCAGAAGGTGATCAATGCTGTCCAGGTGGTTGCTATGGAGACTGAGGTGCTTCAGCTTGTACTCCGAGCCATGAAGATACAACAAGCCTAATGAGGACATAAGGAATTAACAGCATCTCAGTAATAGCAACTTTTTAGTGTTCTTTTTTTTGATGAAGAAAAAGAAAACTCTGTTCAGGCAGTACTGGACTCACCAGTGAGGCTATTTATCTGATTGTAGGACAAGTTTAATCTTGTTAAATTCACAAGGCCATTCAGTCCTGAGGTAAAGGGGGAGGACATTAACAACTGAGTGATTTTACAGCTCATAGAGCAGTGACAGCAACATCAGAGTAAACACAGGATCCAGTAATAAAGAATTATCACTTGGAGAACTTGCACAGGCTGAAACATTTATTATCTCAGTAAAATGGTGACTAAAGACTCACCTTCAACCTTGGTGATTAAGTTGCAGGATAAATTTAAAGTCCTCAGGGAAGTGAGGGAACTTAGACCCTCAATCTTGGAAATGCAATTGGAGGAAAGGTCTAAGTGCCGCAGGTGCCAAGCTGAGGTCAGGCCCTCGATCCTCGGGATGTGATTGCAGTGCAGATTAAGAGCCGTTACAGTGGGAGTCAGGGGAATATCGAGCAAACTAGACAGAAGGAAACAAGGTCAGATTCACAGTGGAAGAAAATAAACTTTGTGCCAACAAACTATGTACCATTTGTTCGACAAGACAATGTGTGCCAACTAATGCAACTTAGATTAAATGAATGAATTGATTGATTAGTTTATGACAGGCCTCAAAATTTTTGATTTTTGTCCATTAAAAATTGTGAAAGCTTAAGGCTCAAATTTTAGGGCTGGACCCAAATAGCCGAATAGCTAACTATTCGTCTATTCGAATAGCCGACTACTCATTTCCTGCGCTGGAATCGGGATATCAAACTTGATCTCCGAACATCCCTGCCGCCGCGGAAACGGAGCTGTCGCCGCTAACCTAAACACAGAAACTGGTTGTCAAAAATACTCACCCGCCACCACCGCGCGGCACCCCCGAATGTCCGGAGATCATAAATTGCTATTCGGACCAGCCCTATCAAATATCTGATTTATACAGTACAAAACCCAAAACATATGTCAGTCTACAATGATAAATCACTCATCCATTCCTCACATTTAACTAGGAACTGGAAAACATTTGATTGATCAAAAAGTCTTGAGTCAACAACATTTTGGGATCGTGGCCCCTCAACATTCAGCAAGATTACTCATGATTCATTATCACAGGTCATGGCACTAATGTACACAAAAATTATGACAACTTCAACTGAAGAATGAATTTTCTCCATCTAGATGCTTAATTTAAGTTTTTGGGGAGCTAAAATGAGGTGAAAGTATTGGAGCTGACTGACAGAATAATAATTGACAACAGTTTTGACGGATAATAAAGCTGATGTGCCAAACACAGTTAGCTGCTCATGTTATACTCTAGTTCAATACTTAAGAGTACTTTAGTTTCATGGCACTTTAAACTACACTCCACTACATTTAATATACTGCATCATATTTAATAGGGGAATATTGTATTTTTCTCTTCAGCAAGAAGATTTGTAGATTAACATTTGTTATTACAAACCTGTGAAGAAACACAAGGCGAATATTATGATTGACTATGGACCAGTGGTGGAAACTAACAGGTTTAAGGTGTTTTCTTGACTAAATTCATTTAATGCTACTTTATTCTTCCACTCCACGATCTAGAGGGAAACATTTCACTTCATACTGCACTGCATTAATTTGACAGCTTTAGTTCATTTTAAATACAACAGGATTTTACACAATGAACAATATAAAAAGCTTTTAAAATACAACATACCGTTAAAGATTAAAACTGAAGTTTTCAACCTTTTTGGCATCTTACCAAAAGCAGTGTGCAGTCGGGGTCACATTTCAGATGTCTAATCAAAGATTAGCGAAAAAGTCCACAAACCAAAAACAGATTTTAGTCGTGCAACTTTGTGTTTCTTATTCCTCTCCCATTTATCATCACGCCACATCCGAGATTTATCTGGTTTGGCTGCATATAAAATTGAATATACAGTGGTTTAAACTAGCTCCACCTGCAGTAGCTATAACACTAAAACTTCAGTATTAAAAATCTTGAGATATTTCATATGATAATATCACAGTCTGAGGAACCAAACCTGTACTTTTACTTTAATCCTCTAACTACATTTTACTGCTAATACTTATGTAATTTAACTGAACTAGTAGAATTTTTCATGCAGGACTTTTCCTTATAAAAGCGTAGTTTTACGTTGCTGTATTCTCAATACTTCCTCCAACTCTGACAATTATCAAACCATGCCAAGAAGCATACTAAAATGAATAGTTCAAATCTGTTGGCCAACTATATTAAAGTACTACTGTAATAATAATCACTAATAATCTAATAACAACATGTAACTTTAGAGGGGTTTTTTGTTGTTGCTGTTTTTTTCCCCCCAAAAAACCATTTTAACTTATACTAACAATCCTATTGTTTTTGTATTGATCAGTTGCCTGATTTTTTCTCTTATACTTTTTTTTTTTTGCTTTCAGTCAGGCAAATTTCAAGTTGAGCAAGTTTAGCAATTTCCCTGAGGTCTTGTACCGAAGGGATCACTAAAGTTTTATTCTAATTCTTTTATTCTAAGGTTTTCTGTGATTCTTCTCCCTGGTTCTATTTATATGCACTTTTGCATGTAATTACCATTATGTCCTCTTTCTCCTGTCATTTGTGCTTTGCCATCTCTGTAGGTGTGTCTGGCTCTGGGGCTGCACAGGTCTGATCTGCAGCTGCTCTCTCCGATCTGTCCACTGTTTATGTTCTCTTGTATGTCGTCTTTTTGTCTCTGCTATCCTTTTCTCTCCCCTCATCCTACCTGATGGAGGCAAATGTCTGCCTTACCTGAGCCTAAAGGAAAATGAGCTGTTTCTCTCCAGTGTGGTCAACTCAGAAAAAGTCTGTGGATTGATTGGTGCTTCCATGTTTAATTTTGGAGGGCCTCAGTGTTAATTTTTAAATTACTTTGTAAGCGTATATAATATTGTTGGTCATTAACCTTAACATTAGTCAGTTAAATTTGTTTAATGAATAATACTGTACGGTCCCCGGTCTTACATAACTCAGTCTGATTTTTTTACCGTAATATTTGTATTTCTCCGGTAAATTACCACAATAAATGACACTGTATGATCTTAACCCTAATACTTAAACTGAGTTAAACAGTCTTATCTCGCTACTGGCAGGCATTTTGTTCTATTGTGTTAAATGTGCTGTATAAATAACGGTGACTTGACTTACATAATACATCACTTATACGTGTATCGGATGACTTTTACACTGTTACTTCACTTTAAAGATAATCAAAGCTACGAGCCACTGACCTTAATGGAACCCGAAATAAGACATTCAAACTTTTTACGTCTTGGGTACGACACGTTTGTAGTAAAGGCACAACAAGGTGACGGAGAGCTGTGGTTACCTTGTTATCTTCTTGTCAATAAGACTAAGCTCCTTGTCTCCCATACCGGCAGCATACAGGTGTTTATACGGTCAGTCGAACAGTTAAACATAAAGTCTGCTGACTAACGAAACAACGGAAAGAAAGCTAAATGAGCAGATAAATCAGAAAACACGTCTCCAAAACCTTTAGCTAAGTTGCTAGCAGCTTAGCAAAAGTTAGGCTAGCGTCGATCCATTTCCAATGAATTTATCTCATAATGAACCGTCTACAAGTCGTTAGCTCTTCATGTTAACTGCTTAAATAACACGTTAAGAGCTCAGTACAGTATTTGTTGTTCTTGTTCAGTTGAACTGGCCGCTTCTTGCACTTCACTTCCTGTTTACATGACGTCGTTAACGCTTACATCCGGGACGCGTTGATTGGCTCCGCCCCCAGTGTGTGTGGCTACCGCCTACTCCCACTAAAAATAAAACAAACCTTAGATTACAGTCGTGCCCTATACAATACACAGCAAACGGGCTCCTTTTAAATCACACTTACTGTAAGTAAAAGTACAGAAGTATTTGGAGGAATTTCTACTTTTGATGATTATATCGAAGAAGAAGATTTATTGTCATTGTACAAGAAATACAACGAAATTTAGTTTGGCATCATCTTTGCAGCAGCTAATATGGTCACATATTAAGTAATTGCATAGTAAGGTCCTACCTGTAATATTTGTTATAATATTATAATACAATAATATAATTCATTTGTGTAATTAATATTATTCTTGAGTTTAAACCTTAATATTTAAATTAGTCAGGTACATTTATATATTAAAAACTACTGTAGAGTCTTAACTTTAGGGTAATTCCATGTAAAAGTAAACAAATCTGAAAATGTTCCCACCTGACCACCTCAAAATCGGCTGCTTTTTGTTTAGTATATTAAACAAAGCCATTCAAAATTTTATCTTCATGGTATGAATATTTTCCAAATTACAGACCCTCAAAGCACAGAGGGGTGGGCTGAAATCTCTTGAATTTGTGATACTTTTACCAGGATTTTTGAGCCCTCAAAACTAAAAAAAAAAATGTCATGAGAATATGCCTATATCAGAAAATACTTTTGACACAGAAGGGATTGCGGATAGAAGATAAGTCTGGTATCAAAATGTAGGTAAAAAATGAGTCCTTGTTTTGACCAACCACCTGTCCCACATGCTGATAAGATCTTTGAAAGTTTACCCAAAATGCACTTTTAAAGTTTTTTCTAATGAATCATCAGAAAACAGAGAACACATCCAGGGCACACAATGCTTGTTTCTATGACTCTTTGTCATAGACATTAAACTGGTATAGTTTTGATCTTAAAACTATGTCATATCTAATGATATTGACACTCAGAGGTAATTGTTCGAGAGAAAAAAATGTGAAAACAAGATGTTGGCTGTGATTGTGATACTTAGAGTGAAAGTAAAATATATATTTGTATATGTATCAACTGATATTAGAAGTGTTTTTTTTTAACCCTGAAATCTTCATGCATCTGTCACCTGTACTCTAGCTATGAGGCTCAAAAATGTAAGTAAAAATAAAACACTGAAATTTGAATTATGTAGTCAAAGGGCCTCTTAATCTGCAGATATTCACAGTATGAAGATTACATTTTTACATGGCTTCAATAAATATACTAAAGTCATCCTTCTTCAACCTTTAGTAGAGGCTGTCTTAAGTTTAAGTATAGGAAAAGCTAAAAAAAACAAAAAAAAAACCTATTCTACATTTCCTAGAATGCAGCTTAAACAGTTTTTCTTCAGATTCTTCCTGCCAAATCTAATTTCATTGAAGGTCAACTCAAAACTCCAACAACTGAAACCTGTTGAGCTTAATATCACAGAAAATTAGAAAATGTGCAAATATTCATATGTGAGAATCTGATACTGGTGAAGTTTTTAAAGTTTGTGCATAAAAGGTGACTAATTATTACTATTATTGTTGTTACTATTGTTGCTGATGTTGTGTTGGTGTTGTTGTTGCTGGTGAGGTTTCCACCAAAGGGATCAATAAAGTTCTATTCTATTCCATTCTATTCGAAAGTAATTTATTCATTGTAAGAATTTTTGCCAATTCATTTTCTGTCAGTTAATCGTTTCAGGAACACTGGTCGGTTTCTGTGTGCTTGACAAAGTGGAAATGCACCAATTTTTTGTGTTTTTTTTTAAAACAGAAGTTTAGTTTCAATGTTAATGCTTCAATTTTTCTAGACGACTAGCATCACACATCAGTTCTGTATATGTCTGTTGTGTTATGAATTGTTCAGGTGTGTTTATTTCTCATGAATTTAAGTTAAAAGAAGAAAAACATCTTCTAACTCAAACTGTGAAGTTCTAGTCAATTTTACACTTGTTTCCTAGCAGCTTTCTCCTAAAATCTCTTTGTTTAATATATATATATTTTTTTAAAAACAGGGAAAAAAAACCAGCACAAGCAACATGTGGTGTATGAGAAACACATCATTTTAGTACCACAAGAGGTGTGGTTTATAAATAAACACCATTAATTTGCCAAAAAGCATCTTCAACTAATCTATGTGTGTAAAAAAAACCAATTAAACCAAGCCTGTTCTTAGCTATCTTCACTTGCAAATACATAAACACGAAAAAATCAAATCAAATCAAAATGTTTGACAAAAATATTTTTTTATACAACTGGAAAGAATTCTCATGTTGAAGCCTGGTTGATGTCTTATGTACATCTCTGGAGGATGTCTCAGATGCACACACTGTTTTTAACGTAAAGAAACCAAATAAATCTGAGATCAGATGACAAATAAGGAGGGAAGCAGAAAAATAACATATTCTAAAGCACTTGTTCTTCTCATTTCTTAATTTTTGTTCTGTCCTTTCCACTAAGTTTTGCCCTTAATTTGTAAATCATCAGATATTTTACTTCTTCAGTATGTCAAATAAAAGAAAAAAAAAACTCTGTAGTGACATCTGCAACCAGTTTGTTTATTCTAAAGTCTTAAAGCAAAGCCAGCCGTCAGCCCAAACTGGAAAAGACTTCCCTGAACCTAAACTGAAGACTTATTTGTTTTTTAAATAATCGTAATTGGGAATGCTAATAAACCAGATGTGTAACCAGAGCTGCATGTGCACATCATGATATTTGTCACAAATGTTGAAAACACAAACTAAAAAAACACTTAAAAGCACCGTGATAATGAACAAAAAAAAAGAGCCTGGGTGAAATCTATCAACTCTGACCATGTAGAACCAATAAAAGGAACATAAAGTCGATGATAGAAGACAGTCTCTGCAATTTTGGAATTATTCATGGAGCAATTAATTAAATATAGATGGATTTTTTATGCTTGCTTTCCCTAAGATATAATTCATAAAACTTCCTACATTAGCACTGTCTTTGACTTATGGGCCTGTGAAACAATGCTCGCTGTGAGTTGTGCGTCCTCGCTCAGCTGTGGCTAATCACAGATGTATTATAAAGATCTTGACCCCTATTATAGTCATAATTCCTCCAGCGGCTCTGCAGGCCGGTGATTGATTCAGTTCATCACACTCTGAACACTGTCCATATTAGAGGAGCTGCATGACTGATCACTGTACTTACTGGCTGCTAGCCAGCGCTGATAGAACCAATTATACCTGCAACCCAGCCAATGGCCCTCCTTAACCTGTGAAAATGATGATCTGGCGCTAATGAAGTGAGTGAATTAGTAATGCCATCTGTTGCTGCCTCGCCAACACATCCCTCATAGGCTGTAGTTTTCAAGGACACTGTATTTTTAAAAAAATAATAAAAAATAGATGAATACTCTCATAGCCAATTAGGGAACAGGACGAATGTACAGGAGTGCTATAATTAAGTCTGACTGGAGAATTTGAACATTTAGCATCCTGCTGTGCCTTTATTTTCACCTTGTTAGTCCTGTTTGTTTTTAAAATGGTTCAGGGTTGGAGGGGAAAGTTACAGAGAAGTGTAACTTCAGGTTGAGTCAGGCACAAGTTTATACAAGGTTAATACCAAGAGCCTGCAGTCATGCTGGTGGCTTTGTGGTGTATTGCGATAAATTCTAAAATTCTGATCTTAAGAGGATACATTTTCTTACATTTTCCATGCCAGTTTAGCATGTTAACGTGCTCATATAATCCTCATTCTGATGGGTGTGATTGAGTGTAATAAACTGCTGATTACTACTTTATTTAATAGAGGAATTTTTTTTGGTTCAAGCCTAATAAAATGGTGAAAAATACCAATCACAATCAACAACGGTCTGCTCGTTTCATACAATTAGAAAATATTTACATGGAAAGACTTCACATTTAAGAGTCTAGAACCACTTAAATTCCAGCTCCAGTCACTGTTTTAACCCTAAAAATGCATCTCTTTGTATCGGCTATTCCATATTCTTATTTTTTTCAAACAAAATAATCCCTTTCCTCCCTTAAATCGATGAAATGTAAGATCTTCTGCTATATGCAATCCCTCCCTCTCTTCACCTACCGCTTACTGCAGCACATCAGCTCTACTATAGAGCTCTCGCATCAAACTACTCTAATGGGAACTTGTAATATTGGAGTAATTTAGCCGTAGGTATTCGAGCTATTGTGATTCTGAAGAGCCCCACCCTGCAAGTTGACAGGATTGATTCCTTTGGTTTGTTACATATAAAGTCCCGGAAGGCTGAATTTGAGATCGTCATCAGTGCACTGCGGTTTATGTGGAAATACTCAGTCATGGTGTTGACTGTTTATTTTGCTCATGGTATGTTGTCCTGCATATAAAGACACCATATGGACATGTTAAACTTAAAAAAACACCCCCCCCCTCAGATTTCCAGCAAGAGCATCTTTAAATGAATTCCAATACATTTTTGTTAATCAAATTAATTGACTAGTCATGTCAGCTTTATTTGCACAATATGTCCATCTGAAATGTAGTGGAGTAGAATTACTGTATAACGTCTATACAGTCATGGAAACATTTCTTAGACCGTCATTGTTTTCTTCAATTTCTTGTTCATTTTAATGTCTGGTATCACTAAAGGTATATTACCTGAAGAATACAATGAACACAACAAAAAAAATGCAGCTGATTACATAATATTTTATGTTCTAGTTGACATGCTTAAGCTTAATTGTATTTCCAGGGTATATAAGAGGCCATTTCATGTCATAAGCAGCACTGCACATGCAAAGGCCTCGAGTGGCGTCCTGCTTACATTCAAGCTGTAACACAACTCGGAACTTGTCAGCTCTCACATAATGCCTAAAACAAAAAAAAAAATATGTGAAGTCAAAAAAGCAGCCATCTTGGCACTGCTGGAAATTGGCATGAGTGAGAAACAGGTAGCGAAAAAAACTGGAAAATCTGAAGATCTCCAAGACAGTCACTTACTACTCCAAGAAAAAACAAGCCCAACATGGTACTACCAAATTGCTAGCTGGTCACGGCAGGAAATGTCCTTCTACCCCATGAGATGACCGTTCACTCATCCATTCCTGTCTCAAGAATCGTTGTCAGACCTCCAGGGACCTTAAAAATGACTGGGCACTGTTGAGAAATGTGACTTGTTCGGCAAGGACAGTTGGAAACCGGAATGGAAGAAGCCCTTCATCAAGCAAAGGCAGAGGAAAGCCTGGTTACTCTTTGCTGGGGATCACAAGGATTGGACTGTTGATGATTGGGCTAAGGTTCTCTTCAGTGATGAATCCAATTTTCAGTTGATGCCCACTCCAGCCAACTTGCTGGTTAGGAGGAAGCCTGGAGAAGCCTACAAACTAGACTGTCTTGCCCCTACAGTAAACCATGGGAGTGGATCAGTGACAATCTGGGCTTGTTTCAGTATGGGTGGAACAGGGCAAATGCAATTGTGTGAAGGGCAAATGAACCAGGTCATGTACTCTTGAAAACAATCTTCTTCCATCAGCTGGAAAACTCTTTCCTGCCTTGAATGACTGGATTTCCAACTAGACAATGCCCCTTGCCACACAGCAAGGTCAGTTAAAGCCTGAATGGAGAACCAGAACATTGGAACCATGCCCTGGCCTGGTCAATCACCAGATCTAAAACCAATTGTAAACCTGTGGAAAATCATCAAACGCAAAATGGGGAACCACAAGCCCCAAAACAAAGCAAATTAGTTTGAATTTGTACACCAGGAATAGGCTGCTGTGACAACAGAACAATATCAGAAGCTGGTGGAGAGCATGCCAAGATGCATGGCTGCAGTCATCAAAAACAATGGTTATGCAATCAAGTACTAACTCCTGTGTGTATCATGTGACTGAAAACAGACAGAAAAGGGAACTCAGAATGCCTAAAAGCACTGTTACTGGCAGTACAATGCCATAGATATTGATGTAAGAACTTAAGTGATTTTGGTAATCAAGAAAACCACAGAAAGTGGCTCGATATCAGCTCTTTAATGAAACTCTTATCAGCTATTTTTGTTGTTACCAGGCATCAAAATGAACAAGAAATTGAAGAAAACATGGTTGGTCTAATAGTTTTTTCCATGACTGTATAATTAATAAAAATTTGAAAAATGTATCTAAGTACAGTACTTAAGCTACATGTTCCTGCTATATGTATGTACCAGATTTAATGGCAAAGGATCTTGCCATTAAATTTGAAACATTAAAAAACAAAACTTGTATGAAAGACTACAAAAGTCAACCTCATGGTGGCGCTAAATAAACTACTGAGCGCCACCATAGTTATCACCATTTATCCATAAATGTCTGTAAAATAATTTTATGAGAATCCATCCCAAAGCTGTTGAGATACGGCACTGATCAGGAATCCAACACAGAAACACAACGTGCTTGTTTTTTCTCACCTGTGAGTGAAAAGGACAACAACACCTTTTTTTTTTTTTAGGTGGAAGCAGATTTATGTCAAAAACTCTTATCCATGGCTGTACAACAGACGCAATGAATACAAATGAACCATAATAGCCACATTTTTAACATGCTAATAGCAAAAATCTGTCATCTTTTGATTACGATAAACAGAACGTAAAGAATTCAAAATGCATCTTATCATGTAGAACAAATTACAAACGTGATATGCATACAATACAGTGTGGAGACATTGTGAATAAATTACAGACTGTACATTTCCTTAAAATGTACGAATAAAGCAAATCACATAATTATCGAGTGTCAAAGAGAATGCGTTACTCTTACATTCAGGTTTAGCTCTCTGCCAGCGTCGTGGCTCGTCACAGTTTTCAATGCACAGAAACAGAAACATACATTTGAGGTACAACAAAAGAGACCAATTCATTTTCATCTGATTGATCACTTAACTGTATTTTTATACACAATACAGACCATAATATATTAAGCACACAATACACTGTATTGTCCGTATTTTTCAGAAAGGCAATCAGTTTGAGTGGAAATTATTGATTGCTCTTTGCAGTTGATCTTGCAGAAGACTGGAGAATATTCATACCCAGCATTTTGATGAAGTACACATCAGAAGTGTTGTGTTCTAATGAGGCAAACAAGCAACAAACAAGTTGGAAAAACTTTTCCTCTGCCGTCAGTCACGTCCCTCATTGCTTTTCTTTCATGTCAAATACACCTCCTTGATCAAGAAGGTTTTGCTGGTATCTGTTCTCCCAACGTCTTGTACTGTAGACATCTTTTCCCCAACTTGCAAAAAAGAAAAAAGAAAAAAAAAAGAAAGAAAAAGAAAAACAAACAAACAGGCTGCAGTGAAAATGAATTATTTCTGTCACGCTGTTTTTCACACTGAACTTATGTAGAAAAGGGAGCTACATTTTCAGGTGCTTTTTTTGGCAAGATTTTCCTGTGAAGTGTAAAAACACAGAGGACTAAAACACTAAATAAACGAACACTCTTGATATGACCTGCAACCACTCAAGATATCCACCCGAGGACAAACAGTTCATTAAGCCATCAACTTAACAATCTATCATGATCAGAGCGTCTAAGAAAGATTCCTGCTCGTGGGCACTTGTGGACAGCAGGGAGGAAACGTCAGCCAAGAGGCAAATTAAATTCACAGCTCTTTGTTCATACAAAGAGAATCAGGGGAGATTTAAATGTCGTTTGATGGAAAGTGCGGATGAGGCGGAGTCCTATCTCTGCGGCTGTTCAGACAGTCATCAGTGATAACTGTAGAGAAGCTGCCTTCCCTTACGCTTCCAGACGGAGAGAACGATAGGCCATTTAGAACAGTGTGGAGGATTAAACTGGAAGGTGATGAGCAGTGTTTCTCACTCTTTCACTCTCCTTAAAAATGGAAGAAAAAAAAACAAGCCTGAGATCTTTTGTATCACTCTTGATGCTGCCTATAAGTTGCTGGGTGCTAAAAGGTCGACGAAGCATTCATTTTCCACACACTGCTCCCAAAATGAAATGGCAGTTCTGTGCAAAATTGCACCACTAAAGCAGAGATTAAATACTGACCTTGCTCAGTTGTCAATGTCTGATATGTGGTTCTCTATCTGCAATACAAGAAAAAAAACAGGTCATCATATTAATCAGTGGGATAAGCTGGCATTCAGTCTTGTAAGTGGGCAACACACATTTGCTTTTTCCATGAAACCTCTAAAAACTGAACAGTACAATAGTCGTCACGGTGTTAAATGGTCTCTCAACGGACCTCGCAACAAAAAGACAGGAACAGTCGGATACACGCAGACAACTAAAATAAAAATCCTTACATATAAAATCTGCCATATGCAGTATAAGTAACAGAGCTGGTAACTGGTTCCCAAGTACAACATAAAGCATAAAGTGTGAATATCTGTATCTGTAGTTAACACTTCATTTATCACGAAACAGATGAACGCTGTAAGCAGAGAAGAATTGTTAAAGATTTCAGATAGAGTCAGTTTACCCAGAAAATCTGCATTTCCTGTCTCCTCCTCAGAGACATTATTTTCATTAAATCGATATGGGGAAGGGTTTTATTTTTTTTTTAGCTTGTTCTAACTTTAATGCCACTGGTATTTATTTTTGAGGGTGCTATCATTTATTTAGAGTGTGTCTTAAATGAGCAACTGAAAATAGTCAAGAAAAAAAATACACTATTTACACAAGTTTGAGTAACACTTGCAAAAACTTCAGCGACTGGCTGTTTTCAGGAAATGATTTACCCCTTTTATAAAATCCAAAGATAGACTTGTAATCTGTTTTTAAACATTTATGGGACTCTGCGGCCCGAGGCTGTGTGTCTCAGAGAGGGAAGGAAAATCAAAGTGTTAAGAGACGCAATGTTAGTTTTGGTCCTTTCATGGGTTTTCTTAACCAGGATAAAACAAAACAAAACAAAAAAATCTTATCATGTAAGGCAAAGCTTTTTATTCAACACAGATGAACAGAACAGTTACATTTTCATGTTTTGCGAGGTGAAAAAATGATTTAAACATTTCTATATTTTCCAAACCATGGTATCAAAAATACTGTTTTGCTGTTGCACCAAGAGGATAACATTAGAACTACAACCCTACCACCCCAGAAAAAGGCCAGCTGTTTCCCTCCTAAGCTATGCTGTCTCCTGGTTATAGCTTTATATTTAATGTACATACAGTCGTATGAAAAAGTTTGGGCACCTCTGATCATTTTCAAGATGCTCCTTTATAAATCATCGGTTGTTTTATTATTGCACACTTTCTGTAAATCCTATAAACTTCATTTCACTTCTCAAATATCACTGTGTTTGTCTGCTATATGATATATTTTACTGAAATTGCTGATCCGAACAACCAATGATTTATAAAGGAAAATCTTGAAAATGATCAGGGGTGCCCAAACTTTTTCATACGACTGTATATTATTAGAGCAGCGTCAATCTCTTAATCTACTTCTCTGCCAGAAAAAAAGTTAATAAACATATTCTCCCCAAAATGTTCAACTATCCCTTTAACACCTGAGATCATGACTTTACTTTCATAGACTACAGGCACATCAAGGGACGCCATACATTATAGATAAAGGCTCTCAAACGAACCGTAATCAAGCTGAAGACAGTATTTTTCCTTTACTTCAGAGACAGGAGAGCTCATCCACTCTTTGTTCAGACTCTAAATGGCTACTTGGCCTGCTTACCATGTCACTGGTGCCTTCATCTTCAAAGTCGTCTTCGCCGCCGTCCGTCATCTCCCCTGCCTCCACCTCAGCCGTCCCCTCCACTTCCTCTCCACCAGAGAGGTCTGCTGCATCACCATGGAGACACTCGCACACCTCCTCCTGTTTCCTCTGCATGTCTGGCAGAAGACGTCAAGACAGATGGAGAAGGACTGACACTTAACACCAGAGCACAAGAGATTTATTGTGTTTGTATCTTGTTTCATAATACAACTATCGGTCACTCAGTACACCTTTAATATTTTCTGTATCACTCAGCTCTCTCTCCTCTTATTTAAATACCCAGTGAGCACCATATTACTTATCCCCATGTATATATGGATGCTCCTCCAGCAGGCAGCTCCGCCCTTACCCTCCATCAAATCTTACCAGCATCACAACGATGTTGTCTCTCAATCTTTTCCAGCCTCCCCAGCAGTGAGTCGATCTTGGTCTTGATCTGTGACAGCTCCTTCTTGATTGTTAGGAGTTGGTCTGTCTTCACTGTAAGCATTCATAAAGTTAAAAGGCATAATTAAAGTTATCTTTTTTATTTATTTATTGTTTTTGCAAGAGACAGTTTCAGCAGCGACTGCTCTGCTCAGACACATCAACAGCCACTTTCATTTGTCAGAAATGTGGCTGAGACAGAACTGGTGAAAAGTTTATGATATTTCACCGTGTTGTATTATAGTGAGAAGCCTGATTAGTAGGTGTGAGAGTTTGAGCAGCACAACAGCAACAGTTAAACAATTAAAAGACAACCTGATTGTAATGAAGCTGATCTTCATTACCTATATGGGAATTCACATTCTGGAATAAATATAATAAGACAAGACAATGACTGTTGGATGAGTTTAATGAGTGTATCTTTGGGGCTGGCATGTGCTGCCGTGTGCTGTTTGATGGTTTCTCCTCGCAGCGCTGGGTGAGAGGCCTGGTGAGGCCTACAGGACAAAGAAATAACAGTTTTAATAACATGATTAAGTGATTGGATTTAATTAATAACTGAATGACCATAGAAGTGATTATGTGGCATTATTCTAAAAATGTGTGAATTGAAAAGTTTGTGACGTCTCACCTCTCTTTTGTCTCCTCAGGTGTTCCAGCCAAAAGAGTCCCCATGGGCTGGAACACCTTTTAAAAGGTTCCAAAGTGTAGATGAGGAGAGGGGGGGATAGTAATTTCTTCAGGTGATCAAATAGATACATTGTTTGATGAGGATGTCGGTAGTTGTTTTTAGGAAATAAATACTTAGTTTTAATGGTTGTTATTATAGTTCAAAGTAAAGAGGTATTGTATTTTTTTGTATTCTTGTGCTGGATTATTTTACGTTAAACCTTATGTTGGTGGACCTGAGGGGCTGGTTAGGGGCTGCCTATAAAAAGCTGGCAGTTGTGTGAGCGTGAGAAGAGAGGGAAGGAGCGCCGTAATATATGCCACCAGTTAACCGCCTTGCTTTGTTTTTTTTGGTTTGCTATTTGTCTTGTTTTTGTAAGGTGAGTGTCGGTGCATAAACACCCGGTTGGTCTGTACCTTATCTCGTCTCAAGTCTCCTGCTTTATCCAACCGCAAAACGGTCATCCTAACACTGATCTAACTTAATCACATTTTATTGTTACCAACAATAAGAAAACTTTGTCCACTAACATAAACCTGCATTAGCTGGTTTTAGGACCACTTGTAAACACAACAGTGACACTTATCAACTCATTTAAGCATCCAGCACAGCAGACACATTTAGAGTCTTGTTGTGGCCAATTTACAACTGATATTCACTGTCTTTGAGATCTGTTTTAACTCTGTTTGGGGAAATATCTGACTGTTTAGATAAAAGATTTTAGTTGCTAACTATGTCTGTCCATCAGTTAAATGCTCAGAAAACAGCTGCTGCAAGACAATAAGCCAAAAGATGCTAAAATACAACATTACATGTGGTCAACTGGGCTATCCCTAAAATAAAAGTACTGACTAGAGCAGCTCTCAAAAAGTAGAATCATTACCCAAACTGGAAGCCTGTTGAAAGCTTCCACCATAGTTTATAATTGATGTAAGCTATTTTGTGCAAGGTTGACTTTTTACTACCACTTCAAATGTGCTCACTTTTGATTTTACCTAAAAAATAAAGTCATTCAGATAATCTAGGTAAACCAGTCTAGACTGCAAATAATGATTTGATTAATTGTTTTGAATTCTGTTGTAATAACTGCTATTAAAAAGTAATTTCACAAGAAAAAAAAAACATCACTAGTTTCAGCTTCCTACATGGGATGATATTCAGTTTTTCTTTTTGGCCAGTTGGACATTTTAATAGTGAAACTGTGAAAGTTCTGGTAGTGCAAAATTATTTTTTATCAAACGATCAAATTGCACACTCACATACTGCTATGATTTTGAGAAGCTGTTTATCTATAACAGTCAATTTAACTTCATTTTGGACTGTTGCTTGGCAACTAATAATGAAAGCAATTCAGTACTGCAGCTGTAAACCCGTCCTATAGTGATATCTGACCATGACTATGCTGTGCCATCATTTCTAGACCACAGCATTCACTCTGATAAGTACATAACCATGTTGTAATAAACTAGAATGTTCTTTTAAACAGAGCAGGAAAAAGAGGAACAAAAAGGGATAAAAAAAACATACGTTTAGGGCCAGTGATGGAAGAGCCGACATTGAGTGGTCGGGAAGATGAGGAGGAGGAGGAGGAAGAGGAAGAACAGGCCCTGACTGGAAAGGAGGATTTGGCTCTGCGTGTGGATGGGACAACTAGCCGTGAACGTTTGATGGGGATCACAGCTCGGGTCGGGGGCACAACACGGCCGTGGTACTCAAAGAGTCTGAAGACACAAAAATAAGGCTGCAGTAATAGAAATATTCTATGACAGTGCAGAGAAATACAATTTTTTTTAAAAAGAAGGGAGAAGAAAAGTGTTTTTTTTTTTTTCCAGGAGTCAGTTAAATGTTATTGAAGCGACAAGAAACGCACCTAAAAGACATGCTGCAAAAGATGTCTGAACGACGGAGGTACATACTGAACAATGCCACATCTGTTCAATCAAATCCTGTTCCCAGTTGCTCACGACATATAAAATTGCCAAGATAGCAATAATGACTCAAAGCTGAAGGAATCAACTATCGGGGATATTGCAAAGTAGAGGAAGTAAACAAACCAATGAAAATGTCAGAATAAAGATACATTCTCTGGCTTGCCAGTGCAAATGACCAGCCGGGGGACTATCTGACATTCAGTATGCGCCTATGCGGATAAAAGCATCATTAGTAAGCCCAACGGAGAGGAATAAAAACCTCCCCAATATGACATTCATTATGCCTGTGATAATGTAGTTACTTTGCCTCAGATGAAAATGGGGCTGTTCTGCACAAAAATCATCTTTATCCAAGATCGGAAATGGGGGAGTAAGGATGTGTACACTAAAGGGCAAAATATCAGGAGAGAAGGGATGAAAGAAGTGAAAAGTTAAAAAGGACACAGCGTGCTGAAATTCAACAACACCACCAGTGAATCTATTTACATACCGGCTGTAGAAGTCGTCTCTGTAGTAGTCATAGTCAAACTCGTAGCCACTGTGAACATAAAACAGAGCATTTAGATTTTTCTGTTACATATGAATGTGTTTACAAGTGGAGTCAGAGAAGAAACAAAATCCCACCAGAAGACAAGTGGAAATCAAAACAGGATACACTGACATTTATCCTGAATAATTTATTCAGCGCTGTCTTAAAGGAACGGTTTGACGCTTTGGGAAATTCCCTTGTTTGCTCCAAATGAAAGGAAACCAGAGTCATGGTTGTATAGTAAAAACCATAAACAACAGAAACAGGAGGAAACCAATAGTCTGACTCTGCACCTCTAAGATGCACAAAGAACTAAAACTGTTGAAGAGCATTTGTTTTATCTGGACAAAAGTATTTTTTCCTTTTTCAGGTTGGTTGTGTGCCGAAGTGCTTCTTGTCTGAGAGAATTAACAGTCTCATTGCTAAGTGAAGCGAACAAGCTGCTGGCTTCATCCTTGAATTCAACAGCCAGATTTTCATGCAACGTTCCTACAGAAAGTCAATGAACGTTGTTTCCAAAAATGTCCAAAGGTTGCCCTGAATGTCAAGTATCTAGCAGCTGGTTAGCTTAGCTTAGCTTAACATAAGGACTAAGACCAGCAACTTCAGGAAGGTTCTGTTTCTGACTTAGAAAAATTCTGCCACATAGCTTTACTATAAAACCACAAAAGGCAAATTTTACACATTTAAAAAAAAAAGATTAAGTTAATAAGTTTTGACTGAAGTGCTGCTGGGTGGATCTTGTCAGCTTGTTTGGCTGCTTTATCCTGTTTCCATGTGCTAAGCTAAGCTAAGCTACCCTGCAGCTGGATGTAGCTTCACATTTCAACTCTCTACAAGAAAGTACATTTCCAAAGACTATTCCTTTAAAAGTTCTAAAAAAAAGAAGCTTTTTGTGTTCTTATTGACCTGCAAAGATGTTACTTCTTGTTCCTCGTTATTTGCTTCCAAGAAGGCTTGTAAGAAAAGAGCTAAAGTACAAACAAACAGTGCAAAAAAAAAAAAAAGTGGCACTAAAAGCAGAGGCAGGGAAGAGGCTGTTCCTTTATAAGCACCTGTCCTGTCAGTGAGCATCATGAGCACATTTTTTACAGACAGTGGAGGGTACGTACAACAGAAAAAGTAGGTCAGCAAAGGAATATCCAACGACACACAGAAATAAGGCTCACATGCTTCACACAGACCTGTAGAGGGATGAGAGAGGCCTCTTGGAGCCCATCTTAGGCCGGTAGGGCTTGGGCTCTCCTGCCATGTTGATATCTGGAAACAAAATGACAATAGAGGTCATGATGTGATACAATAGCAACATTCTGTATATGTCCTAATAGGAGAGTTTGCAGCTGCAGTGAGATCCTGTGAGAAATATGGGGGTAGAGTTTTTTTTACACCTGCATAGTTTAATCTTTTGAATATTATCTATGAAATAGCTGTAAAAATATAACAGATATTTCTATGTGCTTTGATGAAACATAGCTTTATGAGCTTCCAAGCAATTTCATTTAAACCAAATCTAACACTTCATCATCCTGTCAAAATTGGGTTACCCTTGAACTCGGCTCACACATTTAATGAAACACTTGCTAAGCGCCGAGACATGTAAGCACACACACTCACATTCTCGTTTCTTCACACTTTCATTTAGTTTGTAGCTTAAATTCCAAATGTACTAATGACCTGATAACAGAAATTGGAGATTTATATCTCAATTACAGAGATAACTTTTAACTTTATCCAATAACTTGGATAAGAATCACAGCATCATATTATGATGGATCTGGTTCATACCCGTGGAAAAAAATGCCTTCTCTAAAAATGCTTTTTATTTGTGTTGCTTATTCATTTTTCCTTTAACTATTTATAGTCTTTTAGTTTGATGGTCAGTTTAGCCTGAAGATTCTAAGAAAACTGGACCAAAGAAATCCTAAAATAAAGAACAAATACTTGTAGGTTCCTTATGAGCCCAAGTTAGTTACTCTATGAACAGATTTTTATGAAATGTTGTAAGAGTACAGATGGGAGCAACTAAATACAAAGACAGTTTGCATCTGAACATATACATTAAATATATTTGTTGTACATCGTTCCTATTTCCTTAATATATCTGTTACTCAATATTTTGTGAATAAGAAACAGCAATCCTGTCCCATGAATTTACTGATCAGTTAATCAATAAAAAGTCAGTTAAAGAATATTATATTCTCTAGTTAGTGGTTAATTGTTTAAAGTATAAATGTAAAAAATTTTTTTTTTAAAAGTGAATAAAGCTGCTCGCTATTTCAGCTTCACTTGTCTGAGCAACAGCACAAAACCGAAACATGTTTGGTTTACAGTGACATTAAACACAGAAAAGCAGAAAATCGTGACACTGGATAAGCAGAAAATAATAAATGGCACAAAGTGATTAATGAACTAATCAAACTTAAAGTCAACAGCAGAACTTTCAGTGAAGGCTTTTGTTAGATAGAGCTGTCTAAGCACCTGTCTGGTTCTGTGTGATGGGACTAACCAGGCGAACTGAGGGGAAAAACCATTGATTCATTTAAGGATTTCACTTCAGTTCACTGTAGCGCTTGAATAGACAGTAAAAACTTTGTGAGAGTTTTAAATGCCCTGAGAAACCGGAGGCAGCAATTGTGCAAAAAGGACTCTTGGTCAGCATTAGGACAGTAAAGAGAGTAGAAAAATAAAATGACGACTATGAAATCGGCTTCAAATGCATTAGCGGATGACTGTGACTCATCTGTACACACCTCAGGGCTCTTGTCATGACTGACAGCACCTTCTACCTGCCAAAAACCCTGATGCGTTAAACCCGGCTGGTATCACTGAGTTTAGTCTGTCGGCTTGTCGTCGCCACTTCAGCTCAAACTCAGCTCAAATCAGCCTTGAGTGCTGCTCAAGGTCATACACAAAAACACAAACAAAAATCAAACGCCCCCATCCCACGCACACACACCCAGGCTGACAGAGCAGGAGAGATCCCTTTCTGATGGGTGAGTCACCCTTGAGTCGAACAGATAAAACATCAGCTGTGGGAATCCTGCAGTACCAAATGTCATGACAGGAGCTGAAGTCAAGTTGTTTTGCCTAAAGCGCTGCAGTTTTTTTTGTTTTGTTTTGTTTCTCAGGGGCAGAGATGATAATGAAGTCCCGAGCTGCAATATTAACGCATCAAGCTGATAAATTAAAGAATGCAAGATGTGTCAGACTACAGTTTACAAGTTTTCCTCTGTCACACCTTTTCTCTTTGACTCACACATGCAAACACACTCCAGCAGCGGCACCTGCGCCTGGATCTTCCAACACATTGTCTGCAGATTAACCATGGTACTATGTTTGGAGCCCCAAATTCCTCATCCTCTCTCTTTCTTTCAGTTTCTTTCTTCCCCTCCTCGCACTCCCTAATGGACTAATGGACTGGGGATGTATCGGTAGCTCTCAGGTTCACAGGGACAGCTGTATCATTATCATTAGGATACAGGAAGACGTGAGGAATGGTTCGCATTGTAAAGCGTGCTCTACTCTGGTCCCCTGCTAGGGTCATTAAAGAGAGAGTGGAGCACTAAAAAGCACTCTAAAATGAACACTGCCACCTCGCAACACCCCCAGCCTCCACACCCCCCGACAGACACACACTGAGCCTCTGATTAATTACAGTCATTATACTAATCATATACAAAAGTGGCATGAATAAGTGTGTGTGTGCCTGCAGACTGACTTGTTTGTGCGTGTATCCATAAAAGTTGAGGCTAGAGATAGAGGAGATAGAGCCTGTGTTGCTAAGCAATAGCCACTTAGGACTTGATTGATACTATAAACAGTGTGCAGCATCGCTTTGAGGGGGAATATAAAAAGTTACTTTATACTGAAGCTATTATGAGCAGGTTGGCCACAGCAGAATAGCACCGAGGCAGACGCAGACACTGTAAAAACACTGGCCATCCCCTCAACTCCTGAGAGTCTACTCTTATTCAATGCTGGTACAAAGCAGAATATACTGCTGTGAGCTATTCAGAAGTGCAGTGAAAAACAGGAAAATGTGAATCCATGTGGGCATGTAAGCCAGTAACACTGCTGAATCTTTAAGGAGCAATGAACCAACCTGTTAAAAACTAATTATCACCTTAGCACTGATCTGTGCGGCAACATCTGAGGAATTCAAACACAGTATTCACCCTCCTCTCAGCTCTGTTTTTGGTCACCACCATCTTCAGAGAGAAATACAGTATCTGCATTTTTGTTACGAAATGCTCTGCTGTTTACATGACAGTTGCTGTCTTTTGGGGCTGAGTACCAAACTTAGTACTTTAAAAGATCCCCTCTGGTTAAAATCAAGTTGTGTTTTTTTTTTTTTTTTAAACCTTGTTAACAGGTCTGTATAAGACACAACATGAGGAAAATAAGATTTAAAATAAGTCACCAGATGTCCACTTTGGAACCGTAGTGGCAATCTAAAATAACAGATTCAGAAAGTAAAGGGTTTCTACGTAACAAACTCAAGGAGTCAATCCTGTCAACTTGCAGGATGGAACTTTCTGTATCATTATTATTCTTTAAAAGCTGTTTCCTGTTCTAATACATATGGCTGAATATCTCCAATATTACAACTTGCCATTGTGTGGCGTAGAGTAGTTTTACAGTGTCTGAGCAGAGTCAAAGGTGAGCTGGTGTGCTAGAGCTGCAGCCAGCGTGGAGAGAGAGAGAGAGAGAGAGGCAGGGACTTCACAGATCTGCACATTCCAGAGGAAGCAACAGTGTAGAGTTACATCTGAACCATTCTGAGGCATGAAAGGATTGATGTCTTGGGAAAAATAATCTAAACATGTCACTTTGATGCACAGAGATGATTCTTCAAAGGTTAACTCAACAACCAGAGAAGGACCTTAATGCTCACAACCGAATTAGGCTGGTACCTAACAGCTTGACTGGCTGTAAGGTATTAAGCAGGTATTGCACACCAGGTTGAAAATACTGCTGGTGAGAGCAAAGTTTGTGGGCTGGAAAACCAAATAATCAAAACACCAAAAGATGCTCCAACACTGGATGGAGTGGGTGATTATCGTCTGTGGGCTTATCACTACAAAACACCTTTTTCACACTACAGTCAGACACTAGAGCCATTGCTAATATCAGACTATTGATTAGAGCTGCTTTAAGGATTTTTAAAGAAGTACAACTTTGTTTATATGTTTTTAACATGAATGTATTTTTGATATTGATATTTTCAAAAAGATATTTGTAAAAGTGTTACAAAAAGACAGCATGTTCTGACAGTATGGGACATTTGAGATACGATTTACATAGAGTTTACTTGCCAGTATGTGATATTAGTTTCAGTCTTTTCTCTGGGCTCTCAGCAGGATCTTTCCTGCTTCTTTCTTTCCTTTTCCATCTAACAGAGCTAACCTGAACAAGGAAACACTCTCACAATTTTGTCAGTGTTATTCCTGCACAGTCTAGTTTACATTCTCTGAGGTCAAAGTGGTGTTTTCACACCGTCTCCTCTCATCTATGTACACGACGAATGCACCAATTGCAGGCTCGACAAGACCTCATTTTAACTGAGTGTCTCCGAAGGAAAAGATGGGGCTGAGTTCAGTAACAGTATTATCCATCCACACAGAATCCTTCAAGAAAACAATCATCACCACCTCAGGGCCCTCTGACACACTTTGGATTCATTCATATTAATGAAGCTGTGCTAAATTACCTGGGTGCACTGGTGTGTTACTGCATGAGTGCGTTTCTATTTTAGTTAGATATAGACCCCTCAGCTCAGCGTGCCCTTGAGCTCTTTGTCTCTGGAGGTGTGGACGCGTCATTATCACTGGACTGGGTGCAGACAATGAGCGTCACAGCACACACACATAAATCTGATTAAGTCCACTTGAATGAACCTGGTTTAAAAAGGTGGCTCGCCTGTGTACTGCTACTATTTAACCAAACACAATCTGACTCATTGTGTATGAGCAATCTTCCTCTTAAGCAGGGTTACTTTGATATGTAACAACACATTTGAAGAGACAAAACAACTGGGCTTTGTGACACCGTCCTCCTTCATCTGTGGCTCAGACAGACTGTGCAGTGGGAGCCGTGCTCTCTGTGCAATTATGAAACAATTACAACAGAGGAGGAAAGTGAAAAGTCTGAGAGAAGAATGGGAGAATACATTTGCTCCTTCAACTAATGCCTAAGCATAATCTTTTGGCAGCCAAAGGATCATTCCTGGCACAGAACAAATTTCATCCCTGTGGTTGCAC